CAAGTACAGTAAATGGGACTATAATCTTGGGGGTGTTTGGTTGGAAAAAGTACTTTTAAAAAATACTTTCATGCAAGTTGAGGAGAGTGTTTGGTAAACCCTAAAAGCACTTTTTGAGAGTGCTTTCACATAAGTCGCCTCTCACATATTTACTTTATATATCATAAAATTACTTTTAAAACAAAATTATGACTTGGTTTCCACCCAAACACCCCCAAACTAAACTCTTCTCGTATACTTATTTCGTATAGAATCACTTTTAAAATTATAGTTTGGTTTCATCCAAACACCCTTGGGCATTCACAAGCTTGTTAAAACATAAACGTATGTGAGTTACAAGTTCAATACTACTTGCCTCTCATTCACGCGCCAAATTGAGCCCGCGTTATCCATCACAACCTTAAGGAGCTCCAAGGACAAAATTTTACCTCTCAAGAGGATGCGATCGTCAGAGTGCTGTTTAGATGAAAATTTCATTGTCAATTTGCACAGATTTTTGAAAAGAAGAATACCGTCCTCCCTAATCTTACTGACACTAGCTCCAGCTTCATTATCAAACTCCCCATTACTCGAAAGACCAGTTTTATCTGCTGCTTGCGGCACTGATTCAGAGCTATTTTGCAATTCCAGTCGCGATGACAGGGATGGTGCCTTACTATTAGGAATAGGAGCACCCTCACTCGCCTCCATTACCTCGTTAATGAAATTTTGGCAAAAAAGTATGGAATTCCCCTCGTTCAAATTCTTGTCCGTGAATTCCAAAAGTTGACTGACAGAAGCTCTTTTGACGCGGACATCCATAGAGTCTTCCTCGACCCTTGTGAAGACAATGATCATAATCTGGGCAAGAACCGATTTTGCACAGATCTGATTGGTACCGTTTACCCCACCAAGGTACACATTATAACAAGTTCTCACAATATGAATGAGACAATCCGCCCGGATCAAAATGCAGGGGGATCGTACAACTGAAAGCAAAACTCTGAGCACGCCCAACTCTATCGCCTCCTCCCCGAGCCCACCTGACTTGCAAACGGCATCAATAATCCTGAAGACAACTTTGGACTGCGAATCAGTCGCAGAAGTACAGCTATCAGGGCGGTCAATCTCACCATGGACAAGGCCAAGAGCGATCAATTTAAAGGTACACTCAAGAGCAGGTTCAACAACCTTCGCGTACGCCGAGTCCAGCGCAAGAAAGAGAGGTTGAAGCACATATTCTGCGTCCGAGGAGGAGAGACCTGAAAGAGGAGATTGGGCATCGGACGGAGCAAAGTCGGAATCAGATAGGGTTTCAAGCTTGTCTAGGGATGATTTGCAGGCGGAGACGAGGTGGGAGTGCTTACGCCAGGCCGCATTCTTGATTATCTTGTCCAGTGATGGACCCAGAACACGGCCACAGCGTGAAGGACCCCCCAAGGCTAGGGATGCGGACATCTTTCAGAGATAAAATGTACAGCGAGAGAGATTGGACCGTAGAAAATGTTCGCATTGACTGATCTATGTCAATGAGAACCAGAAGTGATGAGTGCCACCGTTCAAAAATTCGATCTTCCTTTGGTCGGAGCTGGGGGATTGGAAATCAATATGACATTTTTTATTTTGCAGGGTAAGACGTTCTGGCTCCTGTGCCGACGTTTCCGTGAAATGAATGAGTGTCCTGTTAACGGTACTTCGGATGCCTAGATCCAGATTAGAAGAGTCGAGTCGGAGGGGAAGCAGAGCTTTGACGCGAACTTGTGTTCTACAACTTCTACTTTCTACAATTTTGTTCGATGGGGCGCACGGCATCCTCAAAATGTCACCGCACCTTTTTGCTTTTTTCAGCTGACTCAAAATGTCACTACACTCATCATATTATTATTATTGTTATATATTTTTGCCCACCTATGCACTTATTAATATTGGTGGTGTGTGCTGGTCAAAAAAAAAAAATATTGGTGGTGTGAATGACATTATATATAAAAAAGTTATTATTCATAAGTAATTTATTTTTTAAAATAAGAATTTAATTTTTATAACTTCACGCAAAACTCAATTTTTATATTTCATCTATTTAATTAGTTGATTTTTAAACTTCTAAAAAATGGTTCAACCTTTCAAAAATGGAATTGTTATCAAGTTATAAGATGTAAGAATTAATTAATAAATTAAAAATTGGATGCTTGAATTCTACTTAATTGAATTTTAAAGATTGAGTAATAATCAAGTCAAAATTATAATAATTAAATTTAATAATTTCTTCAAAGCAAAAAATAGCGATGTGGAGCCATCCATGCGATCCAACTTGCCTAGATTTGCATATATGTGCAAATAAATAGTTAAAACAGCAAAAATTAGTGACCATTAGTTAGTCATCGGTGACTTCGATCAGGTTGCTTCAACAACAGAAAGAAAATAAGCTCTAACCTTGGCTTCTATTTAGAGCAAGCCAATTTAATTCTGGTTAAGCAGCTTGGACCAGCAATTATAAAGGAAAGAACATTGTTTTTGAAAAACTTAATGAAGCATTCTGTCATTATGCATGGTCACAAGCTTTCCTATCTCCTAATAACAATCAGTAATCACTTTGGCACCGGCAGCTTTTTATCAGTCTCATAGCGCTGTCCTCTTTTCCTCATGGCTTCCTTTGTGATATCGCAAGAATACTAATTTGTTTAAGTCTTTTTCGTATAACTTTTATGAATATGAGCGAGCAAAGATACCTTTAGATCTCTCTGTCTCAAACTTCATAGTAAATTAAGAGTTATTTTATCAGAAACATCAAACATCATAAACTTTGTCTAAGTGAAAAATAAACATAAAATTTTTAAAATAGTGAAAAAAAAAGGGAAAATGACACATAAAGAAGCTTGAAAATGTGAAATACCAATTTGGGAAGCTAAGGAAATGTAATTACAGATAGGGAAGTCCTTCCCAAATTAGAATTTTGAAATTTAGTGAAATGACAAAAATGCCCTTTATCTTTTTTTTTTAAAAAAAAACTTCAACCTCTCACCGTGACCGGTGGCCGACAGCCACAGTCGACGACTGGCTACCAACGGTCGGCGGCCGCCTCTGGCCACCGGTGTGGCGACTGCAAGTGAAGTTTTTTTGTGACACTATTTTTTTTTTGAATGGGATAATATTGGTTCAAAGTGGTGGGGTGGGATTTAATCCCACAACCCCTTGGCCACTTGAACCAACAAAAAAAAAGATAGTCATTGGGCCATCAAAGATTTCTTAATCTTATAATGTAAATAAAAATATAAGTTGACTCTTTTATTGTGACTCCAGCATATGACAACAATTTATCTGAGGATGACAAGTCTTAATTGAGAAATAACAAATCTAAATTTGATATTAATAAAACAACTTTTCCTTATACATAACAAATAGTAGCATATACATTAATTAAAAATGACCATAATTTATTGAAAAATGACACGTATTTATTGAAAAATGACAAGGCTAGACTTGATATTAACTAAGCAACTTTTCTTGATACAACACAAAAATAGCATGTACATTAATTAAAAATGATCATAATTTATTTGAAGATGACACGTCTTTACTGGAAAATGACAATATTTATTTGGGAAAATGACAACATTATTTCTTGTTATGTATATGCTATTTCTTGTTATGTATCAGGAATCCCAAATAAATTGTTGTCATTTTCCAGTAAATACATGTCATTTTCCAGTAAAGACGTGTCATTTTCAAATAAATTATAGTCATTTTTAATTAACGTACATGCTATTTCTTGTGATGTATCAGGAAAAGTTGCTTTGTTAATATCAAGTTTAGACTTGTCATTTTTCACTAAAAACATGTCATTTTTAAATAAATTATGGTTATTTTTAATTAATGTACATGCTGCTACTTGTTATGTCAAGGAAAAGTTGCTTTGTTAATATCAAATTTAAACTTGTTATTTCTCAATTAAGACTTGTCATCTTCAGGTAAATTGTTGTCACGGGTTGGAGTCAAAGTAAAAGAGTCAACTTATATTTTTATTTGCATTATAAGGTCAAAAAATCTTTGATGACCCAATGGCCATCTTCCCTTTTATTGGCCCAAGTAGCCAAGAGATTGTAGGATTAAATCCCACCCCCTGCCACTTTGAATCAATATTATCTCATTCCAAAAAAAAAAAATAGTGTCACAAAAAAACTTCACCGGCAGCCACCACATCAGTGGCCAGAGGCGCCTACCGGCCGCCGGTGAGGGATTGAGATTTTTTAAAAAAAAAAAAAAAGACAAAAGGTATTTTTGTCATTTCACTAAATTTTAAAATTCCAATTTAGAAAGGATTTCTCTCTCTGTAATTACATTTCCTTAACTTTTCAAATTGATAATTCACGTTTTCAAGCTTCTCTATGTAAAATATTATAAGTTAAATGCAAAAATATACACGAAGTTTCTAAAATGGTACAAAAACGCTTTTCTTAGCTGAATTATTTATTAAATGGTCAATTAGTTGACTTAATAGCCGTACACCATTTTAAAAGCTGTGTATACCTTTTTATTCAGAAAAAAAGTTCATGGTATTTAGTGTTCCTAACGAAATATTTGATAGGTAAATTTAGGATTTAGGAATTGTTTACATCTTACTCTGTAAACTAAACTCAACAGCATCCTCAGCGCCCTAGAAAGGCCTACCTCCAAAGTCACATTGGGAGCATCGTGTAAGAAACAAAGAAAAAGTGAATTAGAAGATTGTAAATGATATGAACATCGTAATAATCTTTTTAACGTTTTAGTTATAGTATTACAAAAATTTAAAAATTATTTACCCTTTTAATATATATCTTAAATAAAAGAAACGTGAATAAAAAATTATCCCAAGGAAAAAATGGAACAAAAAGCACAAATAGAATAAAAACAGAACAAACACTCTTAACGGTCAGTTTGGACTTCGGATGAAAAAATTTTGAAAGAAAAGAAAATGAGAGAAAAAATAGATTGAAAGCAGAAATAATTAGCACTTTGTTTGCATTAACACGAAAACCATATAAAAGAAAGATCATAATAATAAATATATCATGACAACATTTCGTAATCGAAGTACATATACTACTATTAAAAAAATTATACACATATTATACACATTATACTTTAATCGGAAATCTTGATGACGAATGTAAAAGTCGGCATCTAATGCCTGTTTTGAAAAAAATTACCCTGAAGGATCAACACATCCAACTCAAACTATAAACAGAATGCCCTCATCAAAATGCCGGCAAAATGACTTGTCAACTTTATATCGCTGTGACACCTAACACAGAAGTTTATGACAATCAACGATGTTTGCAATCATACAACATAAATGCAACACTTAATTAGTGCCACTTCCAAAGAGCATCCACAGTTCAGATTTGAAGAGATCTGCTTTAGTCTTCTCTCTCTGTCTTCGCTGTACAACCTGTCCAAATGGCACGTCAGAACAGAGGACGAGTATACAGCTAGAATTTAACCGTCAAAGGATTTAAATATACATATACTCCTCCGATCCTTAATATAAGACCCATTTAACTAATTTGATTAGATTAAGGAAGTTAGGTAAGTTAGTTAATTATAAGAAAACTGACACATTTTTCCTAAAACATCATAATCATCTTTCTTAATACCCCATCTCCATCTTCTACTTGATTATGGTTGAGGGAGTATCTATAGGGGTAATTTAGAAAAAATTAATAAATATGAAAAATGGATCTTATATTTAAGACCAAAACCAACTCAAAAATTGGGTCATATATTAAAAACCGGAGGAGTATATCCCATGGTGTTTAGAGGGGTGGAAAAAAACCATGGCAATAAATGTTTAACAGTTTTAAATACCAAGTTAGAATGACCAGCTAATCTAGAGGCAACTTCGGACAAATGACAAATCATTCGACAACAGGAAGTGCTTTTAGAGCTATCACAAGAAGCAAAAATGAGATTTTCCCAGACCAGATCAAATCAAATCACCTTACATTCTGCATGTTTGTGTGGGTAACGGTTGAAGGTCACTAAACAACAATGGTCTCGAAAAATCAAATACAAGCATGCATTAAATATTCATTCTAGAGATACCGAACGTTTTGGTTCATAGCTAACTGAAGAATTTATATCTTACCTTACCTTCCCCACATATCATTCTGTGGCCAGGGAGAACTACTATGTTCAGACCTTTGCCATCTGGGTTTGCCACGAAGGTACATTACTGGACATAACGGTTATCTTCGTCACCAGGGTTCCTAGTCATAAAGTGCCCTTGCTTAGCTACAAGGCTCTCTTTCTTTCTTTGCCTCAAGGGGTACATGAAAACATTTCATCATGCCAATGATTTTGTAGCCTAATGGCATGAATACTCACTTAGAAGGTTGTGGGTTAAATCCCTCTCTAATTAAAAAAAAATAAAAATCTATCATACCAACTCAATTCATAAAATGTTAAAACTCACGCATGCATGCATTACAAATCACTCAAGTAACAAACATACATGCAAGGATATGGTGGCATTAGTCCAGGCACTTATTTGGGACTTCAATTTAACCATCCAATTGCGGGCGATAAGTTGAAGTGGTCAAGTTCAACTCCGCGCAAGTGAAAGAGCTCAAAATCACCTTGTTAAGAGAAAATACTCTTAGAAAATCCATGAATGTTCACAATATTATTCATGAATACTATTGTCACTTCCAATGCAGAATATATATGTTTTGCCATCAAATGGGTTGCCTTGCTTAATCTGTCCACCACAACCAAAATTACTCAGGGCGCAACATAGGCAAGCCCCGATCAAGTCCATAGACAATTCAGTTGAAACATTTAAAGGAATAAATTAATGATTGGAAAAGGCCTAGGGCTTGCTAAATTTAAACTTCCTCATATCTTTTTCCACGCCCTTCCAATAAAAACCGCATGAAATTCATCTGTAAGTAGATGTCATCCTGAATTACCACAACGTGCATCTCCGTGAGAATGTAGGAAAGACTGCTTTCTCAAATTTTTAAGCTTAACAGAAAGGGTGCTTTCTCCAGCTGTGCTTTGAGACCAAGTAATTTTTCATACTCTTCCCACAATTACAGGACCATAGTTAAATATGTAGCCACTGTAGTGGTTGCTACACAATGAAATTCTTCTTGGGGATGCTCCCTTCCAGAGGGAGCATCACCAGCAGCACTCTCCTTTCCTTTGTGGTATTCAATGTCTTTTCTTCTGAAACCAGAGGTAACTCCTTTGTTGGGCAAAACTTGCTATTCTGATTGTCAGCCTACTACCCGATATATCCTTTGCTGGGTATTGGGCTATTGGCCTAAGTTTGGTCATTTATTTGATTACCGGATCGCAACTTGGAAATATCTTTGCCTCCATAAGACAAGCGTCGCTTTCATCTCCTTCATTGCGCCTACTCAAGTTTCCAAAGCTCTCCTCTCTCTCTCTCTCTCTCTCTCTCTCTCTCTCTCTGTGTTTTTCCTTTCCTTCTTTTTGGAACAAACTATCTGACATGCAATACCACTGACTAACTCTCGTTTAACTTAACTGCATTGTGATCAAGGCTATCTAGACATCCCTGCATTCTTATACTCCTCAGGTCCATAACAGAAGTCCTTTTCTCCCAACTTGGCTATGGGGTGTTTGGGAACCAAACCATGGTTTTAAAAGTAATTTATGTGAAAGGAGCTTAGTCTCAACTTACATGAATATCCAAACACGCAGTTGAAAATATAAATCAAGTTTGACAATAGCTAGAGCATTTACTATTACTTTTTTGTTTTGCCTTTCTGTGCAATTAAACTTTATAAGTAATTAATTCATTATAATTAATTTATATTAACTTTTGACCAGAGTTGTTTACATGTTTAGTGATATAACTTCCTTTTAACAACTATTTTTGTCTAAATGCAGTTGTTAACTTCGGATTATATTGTGGACTGGAGAAGGAGCTACTATGAAAACGCAGAGAAAGATCTAAAGGAAAAGCCCAGCATTGCTGCACCCTTCAACTACCACGATTTTTTTCTTTCTTTCTTGGGAGAATTACAATCAGGTCTTAAAGAAAGAAAATAATTACTAAAAAGCCTCAATAACAATCTAAGCATCTTATAATAACAAGTTCTAGAGTGGGAAATGACAACTCTAGACTTATTTTGTAATTATTTTCCTTCCTGGGGACCTTATTGTAATTCTCCTTTTTTTTCTTTCAGGAGATTGGCGACCATACAGGTGGCTGGAGTGGCCATTGTAGAAAGGGAAGAAGAATCTGCAAAGGTTTTGGAGGAAATTAAGAACGAGTGCACACTATTGCTTAGCTTGCACGCTCAGCTTCGTGATATCAGAGGGTTCTCACGGATGACTCCACTACTTGGCGACAATAATTGAAAGAGAGTAGCACTAAATGCTGCTATAGAAGTGCTCATGCTTTGAGTAAAGCTCTGAAGCCAATGAATTACGCTATAGTTATGGGTGAGAGAATTGAGTACAGCAAAAAACAAAGATGATGTAATTGCATCATACTAATAAGTTGGTCACTATTGCAAAATGTGCCATCCATAACGTCTTCTCAACATCGTTAACAATAATTTGACATCAAGCTTCCCACAAATTGCAGAGGAATACAAGCTGGAGGCAGAATATTTCATTTTGAGAAGTGGAATCATTCATTGCTTTTATAAATTAAAAAACAATAAAATAAAAAAGAAATACTTGATAGAAAGCATGAGTGAAAAATTAAGCCTGAGTGAGGCCAAATCCATAATTTTGGGTTTAACAATATATGCTTCCACAAATGATAGAGGGGGCATGTTTCACAAATAAACTCTCCATGACCAGCAATGGGATTATCTAACTCATCTCAGAAATTCATGAGAATTAATCGTCCAATCAAAAGAACAAAGAGCTTAAAATCCAAAGTAGCATTTTAACTAAAGTTACACAATCAGCGTATACCTAACCTAATAATTACCTGGTGCATCTCTCATGCTCAGATTGAGACTGTTGCGCATAGTCCTTCTTCCAACTCCAGCATTGCCTTTTTGCATCATGGCAACAAATTCACCATAATCAATCCTTCCGTCCTAGAATAAAAGATACAAATTCATTAAGCATCATTGGATTAGGAAAGGCACAGGAACTCAATGAAAATTTAAAATGCAAGAGAAATGCTAGACTGTTTAAGCGCAGATATTTCCTGGTCTCATAAGAATGGTGATTTCAGCATACGAGTTTTGTTTTTCTAAAATAACATATCTGATGAGGAGAAGTACAATAGGAAGATCAAGACTATCAACCCAAAAGTTTAAGTTTTGAGTGAACACCCAGTATTAATAATGTTAACACAAAGCCTCACACTTTGGACTTAAAACATGGACAAAGCATGGGCTCAACCAAGAAGAATGAGCAACCAAAAAAAAAAAAAAAAGTCTCAGTCATTTGGTTATAGAAGCTCTAATATCAGGTTAAAAATATTTTCAACCAAAAACCTTTAAGTTATAAATATCTTTGACAAGGTATACACACTAACTGCATGGAGTCCAATCCTAGTCATTTGCATCCATATAAATGAACACTCAATTCTATCAATGACCTTTCTCTTTCTCTTAGCAAAATTCTATTGTTAAATAATCATAAAGATCAGAAAATATAACAACTTAGTCAAAGGCCTCTTGGCCTGATGACACCTAGGTGAGCCTTGTGACACGCAGTATCTGGGTTTGATCCAGCCAACAAGCACAGCTTGCCAAATCTGTGTGTATGTATGTATGCATAACAACTTAGTTCTAGTAACATGCACAGCAGCTAGGCAACAAAATACTACATGTTACCACATCTTGCTTCTTTATCAACATAGTAATGTAAGTAGGTACATCTGATTAGACTTAGAAGTCTTGTTTTGTTTTTCTTAAATAATATGTCTAAGCAGAAGATGTTTAATAGGTAGATCGTGTCTATGACCCCAAAAGTTGTTGAGTGAACAACCGATATAAATATTGTCAACACAAGGCCTAACACAAAAGCCTTTTGGACTAGAAGCATGGATAAGGCATGGGCCTAACCCAGAAGAATCACAAAAGGCTTCTTTTTCCCCCCTTTTTTTGGGGTGTGTGTGTGTGTGTGTGTGTTTTTTTTTTTTTTTTGGGGGGGGGGGGAGGGGGGCTCAATTATTTGGTCGTAGAAGTTCTAATGTCAGGTCAAAAATGTCATCGTGCTCACCACGTCTTAATGTGATGAGATAGATTTTATTCACTTATCATTTTCTTGCTGCCATTGCTCCTGCTTTATCTTGTTAATATTATATCTTTATTTTTAAAAATTCCTGGATGTTAGGCATCTAGCATATCATAATAGAAAGATGATACTCTAAATAATAAACAATATACACTGAATTACCTTTAAGCAATGAGTTTTTTTAAGTCGAGCCTATCATTTGGATCAGCAAATCTATACTCATTTATCTCTAATAAAGCATTTTTACCGGCTGCACAGAGTCTAACCCCAACCATTTGTATCAATAGAAAGAAATACTAGATTCTACCATTTTCCTTTCTTAGTAAACAGCGTATGGTGTTCAACATAATCATACAAATTAGAAAACATAAACAAACTCAGTTTTTCTAAAACGCATACACTTAGGCAGCAGGACAGAAGTCATTGAAAAAAAAGGCTAGATCTCCTTATCAATATACTAATGTAGCTGCAATTGGCAGGCTGTAGTCAATTTAAAAAAGCTAGTTACATTGGAAACAATCAACATATTTATTTAGCAGAACTACCGATTATCAAAATTATATATGCACTAGTTGGTGTTTTATGCAAGTAGTTTGTTTCATATATTACTATCTCAATGACTCTATAACCAATATTAAAAGTGTTTTTATGAATAACTTGCTGAAAAATGGGGGAAAAAGAAAACTAATTAAACTATGAACAACGTTTATAATTAATTGAACAAATGATTAGTCCCTTGTGAAGAATGTGATGGCGACTACGCATGTCTACGTCCCACATGAAGTAGCATGGAATATTCAATAGGATATTTGAATGGATTGGTTCTCTTACTTCCATAGTTAACTTTCGGGGGAAGCTTCTTGTGCATGGTTCTGATTTGTTGAGAATACAGACCAACAAGGAAATTGAGCAAAGTTAGGACATTGGCCCTCCAAGAGGAGCCAAATGATGGAGACTAAACCCCTTTTTGGTTGGAGGGAAATGCAGGGGATGAGAGATTTTAATGACTTGGATATTAAAAAAAAAAAAAAAGGATAAGTGGGGTTATAAAATTCTAATAAAGAGAACATGTAAGATTAAAAAGTAAGAAAAATTAACTGAAAACTTCTAACCCCACTTTTAAAACGACTCAATAAAATGGATAAGTGAGATGCTTATGTCCCATTTGGAGCAATAAAATATGCACTATGGGGCACTTGAGTGGTTTGGTACTTCGGTTCTCTCACCTCAAAAACTAAAACAAGTTTTTTGGGGAGGTTTCCCATTCCACTTGAGTACCCACTAAAATATAGTTTAAATTCAAAAACAAATATAACTGGAAGTGAAATGCATAACTAGTTTAAGAATTTAAGGAACATTGTTTTGATTTGTTGAACACAAAACCTAGAATTCAAGTCACTCCCAAAATTATTTTTATCCCGCCCACACTGGATCAAATAACCACAGTGAATGTCAACATATCCATGCTATGTTAAATGTAAAAAAATTCAGTATATTTTAACCATTGCCCACTAAAAAATTAATAGAAATATACTTTTGCAAAACTAATCATTGTTCACCTCAGATTTTACACACATAATCAACTCCCTGCCACTGACAAGCATCTAGAGTGGCTATTTATAATACAAGACTAAGAAAGTAAATAACAGAAATAAAATCCTTAAATCATGCCCAGTGGATCAATGGAGCAATTAGTGGCTTCGAGTCGCAATACATGACTTCCTTACATCTTCTCCCTTATCCCCACGATCTCCCATTTCCCTTTATACCAACTTCCCTGATCTCTCAAGTTAGTTCGGGATCAACCCAACTCCTGCGTTCCCTATTCCAATCTCCTACGTGTTCTATGCCTATAGTAGGTAGTTAGTGACCTCTTATCAGTTAGTCATGAATCTTCTAACATCTCTATGAAGCCAATACAGCTTTCCTACATGAATTGAATGCATCAAATAAAAGAATTATAAATTACTTACATTATCTTGATCCACTTCCCTAATAATATCTTCAAGAAAGACATCGGTCATGTTATGTTCTATACAAGCTTGTTGAAGCTCATCAACTGTAATATAACCACTTCCATCCTTGTCAAAATATTGGAAGGCTGCAATTAAATGCTCCTCACGCTCTAACTTGTTTAGATGAACTGTCGCAGCAACAAACTCCCCATAGTCTATTGTTCCACTGTTGTCTACATCAGCCTAAAAACAATCAAGCATTTCAGCTGAACGGAACATGATCAAGTTCTTGACAGATACAAGGAACACTACATAAATGTAAAACTGCAACCATCACTGCAGATGAACAAACCCAAATACACCGGTCAATTTGCATCATATATAATATAAAACCAAAGGCTTACACTGCAGGAATCATATGAAAACCTAGGCTCAATTCCAACAAAGACATGTTCTGAGATCCCAAGAACAAAATCATTTAAATAGGAAAATTGAAAATGTCTTCTTCTTTTTTAAACTACTTTCGGTGCTTCTTTTTAGATGTGCATTTAACTTGCAACGAAGAAGATACAAACAACTGAAAAATTGAACTAGAACAAAATACAAAGTAACAGTAAAAATATGGAAGGAAAAGATTTCTTTTCAGAGAAGATTCTTTTTCATAAAAGATAAAAGAAAGAAAAATAAAGAAAGCATGAAAGTGCATCTTTCTTGGAAATGACATCCTACCGCTTCCATAAGATCACGAATTTCTGTATCCTTAAGGGTTGATCCATATCTTCTCAACCCAGCCTTGAGTTCATCAAAAGTGATTGCGCCACTGTTATCAGTATCCATGGCCTTAAACATCTCTTTTAGACCTGCAATCTCCTCTTCAGACAGACTTTCAGCAATTACCTAGGAAAATAGGATAAAACAGGCAATTGTCAATTCTTTCACATTGATCTACAGTCACACCTAGAGGCATGCTGAAAATCAGCATTGCATATCAGAACTGTCTTCATCTTAAAACTGGCAGGAAAAGAGGAATATTCGTAATAAGAAACAGAAATTCAACAAGACAAAAAGATAAAGATGAAGGAACATTGGAGATGAAGGTCAACACAGAAGCACAATACAATATTATTCATCTGGCCTCCAAGATATGCACAAAGATGTATTGCCCCCGTGACCAAATAACAAATCAATGAATGCTTATTGATTTGTTATTGGGTCACAAATCAGTAAACATTCATATAACTTAGACAGGGAAAAGGATGCATTGTCATATCATTTTGAAAAGAATTTATGATGCATGAATATGAGCACAGATACCAAAACACATGCATAAAGAAGTATTACTACCAATTATCAATTATCAATTCATCTTTTACATTTGTGCGTCCATGTATATGTACCATTTAAATACATACCTATTGAAGCATATTGAAGCATCATTTAGCTTTCCTTATGCGCAAAGAATGGATGACTAAGAGCATTGATATCGTTAGACATGTATATATAAGTATTATATTATCAACTCATCTTATACATTTGCGTGTCCATGCAAATATATCATGTAAATATCGAACTATTTACACGTTATTCAGCTCCTACCCGCAAAGCCATTTTCTTTAACTTATTCATCGCAGAGAACTGTTTGAGACGAGAGAGGACAGCAGGATCCAGCGCGCTATCAGGGGCAACTCCATTTTCACATATCCAGGGATGACCTAAAAGAGCACCAAAAATGAACTTTAGAGTTTTTGACCTTTATATTATTTTTTGGGTATGTACACGCTCATATGCACATGATGTATACACGCACATTTGCAAGAAACTACATTGCAAAATAGAATAATGAAAACCCTAGCATGTATGTAATTCAATGTCTTAATAAATATATCGAAGATATTAACCCCATAAAGCTGAAGAATGTCTGATCTCAAGGATAAAACAACCTGTATCTGTATGTATCTAAAAGTTTGCAAAGAAGGACTAGGTCATCTATGGAAGGAATCTACCATGAATGAAGCAATGCCAGTGGGACATCAACAACCTTAATCAATTTGCTATGCACTCTTATTAGTTGGCATTAAACATCCACCAACAGTAACTAGACAGAAGAATTAGCATCCATCCCACTCATTATTTGATGGCCACCTCTTTTTATTTTCTAATGGTGAGATAAAAAAGAAAATTATAGAGGGACGAACATACACAACACTTCATGGGCAGTTAGCCTTTCTGAAGGTTGAGAACAAAGCATCTTCCGAATCAAATCTTTTGCACTATCAGATATTAGAGGCCAGGGATCGGATTCAAAATCTATATGTCCCTTCAACACCGCATCAAATATGCCCTGCTGGGTTTCTGAATTCCAAAAATAATGCCTTTTTAGTGATAGAACAGAGTAAGGAGGAAAAACTAAGAGTGTCTGCCGTGACATGTACCTGCCCAAAATGGTGGCACACCACTAAGCAGTATATACAGTATAACACCCGCTGTCCATACATCTGCTTCTGGCCCATAATGCTTAAGGAGAACCTCAGGAGCAACATAATAAGGACTACCAACTACATCAGTGAAAATTTGACCTGAAGCAGTAAGGTTTTCTAGAGTTAAAATTTGAAAAACACCCATTGAAATGCCAAGGTCTTTCCCAATAACTACGTATACTCAACGTATAAAACAAATGGATTATACTCAAGTGATATTTAAAGACAGGGCTTCAGCGGCAGAATATATTTTTCCAAATTCAAAAGAACAAAAAGAAGATACTGTGTGAAAATGAGCAGGTAAAAAAAAATAAAAAAATATTGATGTTCTTATGAAGAGAGCAGAAGCATAGAGTAGATCCTACTGGAGAATCTTGTTCTCAAAATGCTTCTTTGCTCTTCTCCAAACTACAATTGTTGTAAGAAATCATATAAAGGAATAACAATTACCGGGTTTGAAGAAAACAGAAAGCCCAAAGTCAATAGCTTTAAGAGAGAAATCATCGTCTTTGTTGACCAATAAAAAATTTTCAGGCTTGAGATCTCTATGCATAACCCCAAGGGAGTGACATGCCTCAACAACTCCTACAATAATTTTGGTCAATTCTGCAGCCTTTCTTTCGCTGTAGTGGCCCCTCTGGATAATGCGATCAAACAACTCTCCCCCAGAACATAGCTCCATGACAATATGAACATACAATGGATCCTCATAAGCACCCTTGATTGTAACAATATTCTTGTGACCTGCTAAATGGTGCATTATCTGAATTTCCCTCCTAACATCCTCAACATCTTCCTTAGAGATCAACTTCCTCTTAGAGATGGACTTACATGCATATTCAGTGCCAGTGGAATTCTCAGTGCATAAATAAGTGGTGCCAAATTGTCCCTGCCCTAATTTACGGCCTAGAGAATAAAGATCACGGATATTGGGAGTCTTATGACCCAATACATAATATGCTTGGTTATCAACCCCCCGCCTCATGATGGCGTCTTTCTTGGGTGGAATAATGAAGGGTGGATTACTGTTATTGCTGTATTGCTCTGTACAAGAGTCGTTACTAATATCTTTATTTGGGTTTTCTTTGGCCACGGGCTTCTGGGAGTTCAAGCTGGAGACGTAATAATCTGAGTTAGAGCAATCAGAAGAAATGTTGCGCTTGGAATGGGCAGTGGAATGGTCTTCGGGCTGGCTGAAGCCCTGAAAATGTTTCCCTTTCAAAGATCCACGGCATGAGTTGCCCATGAAACAATCACGCAGGTATTTTTACGCCCTTATCCTCATCCAACGATCTGTCATCAGTTTACTGAGGATTGATAATTAAAAGTAAGTCTAACATAAAGATTACAGAAAGATGAGATGAAATCATTTTGAATCTTGCGAGAAAGGATCGATTCATTCCACTACACAACCAAATTAAAAAAGAAATCAGAGAAACAAAGAAAGAAAATTGCCCACCTATTTACCGATAACGGAGAGAACAAAAGAAATGAATCAACGTAGCATGAATATTTACATACAAATAAAAATAATCTCTAAAGAAAACAAGGAAAGCAATCATTTAAAGCCGTCAAATGCGAAAGTAGAATCCTGAGCCGCAAACAGCTTCAAGCTTGTGCAGATATAGTAGATGTCGCTTACCAAATGATGAGAATGTAAGCAATTGAGAGAGGATTGATAAAATAATTGCCTCGCGCTGATCTGAAACCTTAAGTTTCCATTGAAGTCGTAATTGGGTCTCTCTTTTTCTCTTGCGCCTCCGGCAGATGCGTCTGCCTCCGTTGCTGCTTGGCCTGGAAAAAAAAATAGTTTGATCTTGTTGGATTATCTTAATTTATGGTTTCGTTAATTATAGAATGGTTGCTGCCGAGAAAGATCGGCGGACAATGCTGACCACCTTCTTCGGTTGAATGATTTCTGATTCTAAAATACTGCGGCGTTTGCTTTAGGACTTCAATGTCAAATAAATAAATAAATATTATCCGGTCTGAAATATAAAATATAAAATAAATGTTATTTTTTAAAAATATTTTTATTAATTAAATGTATTAGTTAAAACTATTGTTATTTTTTAAAAAAAATATATACATATAAAAAATAAAAATAATATAAGAGCTAGTTAACTAATTTGAAAATATTAAAGAAAGAAGTTAAATTAGTTATTTATAATAAATATGTGTTGTTTTTTTTAAAATATCATTGATAATCAAGTATATTGATTAGAACTATCATTATTAGAATGATTATTTTAAAAAATATATATAAATATGAGAGACAAAATAGATTATAATTTTATATTTAGTACCAAAATAAAAACTAAACAACACCTTAAGTATTGAATGTAGTAAAATAAAAATTAAACTAATAAACAAAAGGATGCTGAGTTGCTGACCACTGTCGCCATTTCTGTCTATAGATTTTTCAATTAAACTCGACGCGGCTTTTCTTGTCCTGTTTGTATATTTCTAACCCATCTTTTATTTTTCCCCCGCATTTCGTCTTTATATTTTTGCGCTGACTGCTGACGTAAGGTCGTGACTTGCAAGCATTGACATTGAACAATTTTTAACACTTCATTCTTCATTCCAGTTTTAACGCCACTAACAAAAATGATTTAACTTCCTTTCCTCATTTATCTGGGTCCCCGTTCATCTTTTATCTCCTCCATCAACAGTGGACATCTGTCACCATCCATAATCAGTCAAGAACCGTCTCTTTCTCCAGAAATTTATGATAAAACATTTTAGCAACAATGGAGGTATGGAGCAAAATTATCCAGCAATTTCCCATAAATCCAATGATAAGGTTTTAAATATGGGATGTTGCTTTATTTGCTAACTGGGAAAAGTTTGATGGACAATGAGAGGTCCAACAGTGCAATCTTTTCAGCCGCCAAGTTTAACGAGTTGGGTTGAAAAGTAGGGTTGGTTTTGTGTTCTGCTGTTCATTTTATTTGCGTGTCTTCTCATTTTGTCTCTTCACCTCTATCATTGTCTGAGGTCAAAGAGCAAACTTAGCCCATTCTCAAAAGGTTAGAATATAAAAACCTATACAAAACAAGGACGTATGATACAATTGGAATTTTCTTAGAAGTTACCAAAGAAATTTAGGGACTTGAAGTGGTTTAAGATGCTTCAGAAATGAACTTGTTATTACCCCTTTATGCAATTAGAATTTCTATATATAATGTACCCACACAAGCATATAACTCGTGCAGCTAAGAAATCTGGCTATCTCTAGAAATTTACCAATCACCTTAGTAATTTTTTGAACCAAAAAGTCACCTTGATATAATACCCTCTGCGTAAAAAGAGCGATTAGCCCAGATCTCGAGTTGGTATTAGATTAGACTAGACTTCTAGCTTTCTTGTTCAGCCTAAGGCCTTCCCAGACTAGGGCTCTGTTTGGGTGCTCTAAAACCGTGGTTTCAGAAGCACTTTTCCGCAAAACGAGGTAACCTCCTCCACATATTTACTTCGTAATCTGTAAAAACACTTCTGAAACTATGGTTTGGTTTTTATCCAAACACTCCCTAGATCTTACACATAAAAAAAAAACATGGATTCATGGAATTCACCCCATACGGTCCTCATATTAAGACGGAAGGAGTACTATTATTATGTAATTATGCAACATTCAATTCAAGATATTATTTAATTATGTGATGACAACTGCTGGGCATTTTTCATAATGATAATCGCGGGGGATCCCTTGGCAAAACTTGCCAAATCTGAGTCAAGCTTGCCTAGTAATCACTGATTGGCACACAAAGTCCATCAAGTCATCGTTCTCCTGCGAAGTTTATTAAGGTCAGGCACCACGCCAAAATGAACAGAGCTAGCCTATCCGGGATTAAAATTAAATAACAACCATAATTACCGCCTAGCCTGTCACTCAAACGGTGATGAATTACATGAACAGAGCTAGTTTGGTAACACGTGATTCAGCAGTACAAATCTCACTGTTCTCCATCCCCCACGGGGGCCCCACCCCACCAAAAGCGGTATAAATCTCGCCGTTACTATAAAGAAATTGGAGAATTGAGATTGCTTTAATCAATTGGAGATACAAATAATACAATAGAACCAATGGCATGGAATGATTGATTCAATGAGATCGAGGGCGCAAAGGTCGGGTAACACGATGGGAAGCCACGTTACGAGTAGAACGGAGTCTAGGCTCTCCAGGCCTGTCATTGGCAGCCTGAATCCGCTCCAAGTTCTCCAAAACTTCCTTCATTGATGGCCGATGTTTAGGTTCTAATGCAAGACATTTTAAAGCAAGTTGAGCTATACGAAAAGCAGATTTGGATGGATATTTTCCCTCCAACCGTGAATCCATTATGCTCTTCAATTTTCTTCCATCATGTAAGTATGGTTTCACCCAGTCCACAAGACTATGTTGGCCGCTGGGGCGGTTTTGATCTAGTGCCCGAAGGGCTGTCAGGATCTCAACCAAAACAACTCCAAATCCATACACGTCACTCTTCACGTACAGATGCCCTGGATAAAGCAACCCCATATACTGATTGATGATGTTGATCATAAATTAATTTGACTAGGTCAGATTTTGTTCAAAATAAATTTTATTATCCATGACAAAACAAATCCCATGTATATGGGCGCACAAAAACCAATGAAGAAACCCAAAAAATGCAGAGTTAACCTGTTGCCACATATTCAGGAGCCGCATAGCCAAACGTGCCCATCACCCTTGTTGTTACATGGGATCGACTAGCTGAAGGTGCCAATTTTGCCAAGCCGAAGTCTGAAATTTTTGCAGTATAAGACTGTACCACAGCCAGAATCCAATGCACGTTTAAGTCATGGATCGCATTAGTTATTCACTTATTCTACACTGAAAAAAAAATCTCTAGCATTGATGATTGTTCTGGAAAATAGCTTTTCTGTGAACCCGAATTATGCATTTTATTATACTCCAATGATCACAAACAAGACCAAAATCTATGTCCATAAAAAGATGGTACGAATCAAAACAGCTGTTGAAAATATACCTACTAGTCATGGAACAGACTTTTGACCTTGTAGTGTACTCTAGTGTAATATGGGAGGTAGATCAAACCAACTCAAAACCCGTTTAAGAAAATTAGCTCCCATGATTTGTCTTTCCTGTCATCATCCCTCTCACTAATAAACCCCATTTTTCTCACTACATCTTACAAAAAAAGTTGCAAAACGAACATATATATACACTCTTCATAGTTTCACTCAAATTTTAATTTCATTCCAACTGCTTTAAAATTTATAACTAAATCCTTATGGTTCAAAATTTATTTAATTTTGCCCTTATCATTATATTTTTTATCAATATTCTATCATAGAAGTGAGTTTATTTTGCTTCATTATTTCTGTTGCATTTGTTGCCACAAATCAAATCATCATATCATATTAGAATAATGTAAAATTGAGGGCTAAAATGTAAATTTGCCCTGAAAGTTTAAAATTGTAGCAATGTTGGCCTCTACCGTTAAAGTGACGTTGATAGCTAACACTTTTAACAATAAGGAGCAATATTGTTGCGATTTTAAACTTCTTGAGCAAATTTGCATCCAAAAAAACGTTCGGGCAAACTTGCACCTTAAACCTATAATTAATTATATCAATCAAATTTAATAATTACTCATAAAATTTTAACAGTAGGAACTCCCTTAAAAAAATTTGTGAACAGGAAGGATTCAATTACAAATTATGAATTATAGAACCAAAATTAAAAAGTGTATAAAATTCTAAGGACTAAATTCAATATTCCCAAACGTCATTAATACTTGGTTAAGACATGGTCAAAAAGAAAAAATACTTGGTTAAGAATTTGTATATTTTATGAAACTCACCCCATCGAGCAATATATTGGAGGCCTTGAAATCACGGTAAATTACTTTCTCAGATGTGTGCAAGAATGCCAAACCACGAGCCGCTCCAATTGCAATCTTAAGCCTAATGTCCCATGAAAGTGGTTGAACAGCAGAACCCCCTTGCAAAAGCATAAAAATGTTAGCTGTCGATTTTTAAGATGCCTAAAAGACTATTTAATGTTTTGACCCATCCAGCTGAGACAAGCAGTGATATTTAACTTGTCACTCACTTCCAAATAAATGATTTTCCAGACTGCCCTTTTGCATGAATTCATAGACGAGAAGAAGCTCATTTTCTTCCCAACAGTATCCTAACAGCTTAACGAGGTTAGGATGAGAAAGCCGTCCCAGAAAATTTATTTCCGACTGCACAACATGAATGAACCGTTAATATAGCAACAAATTTGTAAGTCCATATTTGCAGAAATTTGAGAAAACAGGTACATCTCTTTTCTCAATACTTGAATGCATTTATATGAGTAAACCCACAATTCATCAATTCCTAAAACTGAGGTAATTCCACGCAAAGGCAGACTCTTCTTAAAGTGAGGGGATGCTTTGCATTATAAGATGAATCTTGAGATATCTTGAATTTTACCTAACAACTTGACCAATGCAATGAATTGAAAAAATTGATAAACCAATGCGTACTCAACCGACTCAACCTCTTGAGAGGTCCGATCTCCTCCACAAATTTAATCAAAGCATGTATAAAGTTTGCTTTATACAACCAAATTACAGCTCTAAATGGGAAACAAATCGGACATGCAGCTTTTCGTAGTTTGCTTTTAGCTGCGTTACTTGCTTGTTCATGCCAAACAATGATCTATACTTTAGAGCACAACTTAGCACTCTCACTACTACAGCTAACTAAGTCTCGCCAAAAAAAAAATCAAATCAAATCAAATCTACCTTCCTAGTAAAGCGGGAAGATTTTGAAGTGTTGTTGTTCTCAAACCATTGTTTACTGATATCAGGTGCTATTCTACTACACTTTCCATCCGTGAGGGGAAAGGGATTTGCAAGGAGGTCCAGTACCATTCACTCTTATCTATAAATCTAGCTACTAATAAAATAAATATTCTGCAATAATCTCTGTCGGACAAAGTAAATCAAGCAAGAAGCTTGAAGTAAGGAGAACAAGAGTCGCAGCTGGAAGCAAAAACAATCAACGAATGTGATAGAACTCAAGATTCACAATAGACTTACATATCATTTCCGAAGACCTATAGCAGAAGATTAAAAAAGGGAAAGGATGTAGAAAAGGGTAATACCAGCAGTTAAGAGAATTATAAAGAGGATCCTGGCCGTAAGGGTAAAGAGAGGGTGAATGAGTAGGATTTAGGTGCAGCCAGGGTATAGCAGTGTTGTAGTAGCATTTTGGGCTTTTGTACTTCGGTTTCAGCCAGAGAGAAGTTCTGTCTTTTGGGAAGTAGAAGCGTTGTTGAGAGAGTTCTACCAGATATACATTTCTGATTCAGTTCTTATCGAATATCAATATCAAAACCCCAGTTATTCCTCAACTTCTTGCTATTTACCGTTGTTAATGCGTTTTATCTGTTTTGTTAGGGTGCAGGTTCTCTCATAAAGAAATTTTATTTTTTCCCGAGGTCGAGGGAATAAAGAATAATGTTTTTGCCTGATATGAAAATTTCTGCTACAACAGACAGGTGTACATTTAAGATCATCGCCTTCCCCTTTTATTGCCGTAATTATTGCTAAATTCAACAGGCACAAATGAGGTTGGTGAACCCACGCCATTTATCTTGGTCAAAGCAAGGTAGAATTACCTGCCATTCCTCAAATCCTTGTAAGCTCTCTGAGTTCAATTTTTTAACGGCAACGACCGTTCCACTTCCATTTTTTGGTGTTGCCTTTTCTTCAAGCCAACCCTTGAAGACTTTTCCAAAGCCTCCTTCTCCAAGTACTGTATCAACTCTAAAATTCTTAGTAGCAGCCTTCAATTCTGCAAAAGTGAATGTCCTTAAATTTGCAGCAGGCAAAATCTGCCCATTTGGATAAGCTTCGCCACCACTGGACTCGGAAAACTGGCTATTTATGGAGATGCTTCCGCTCCCGTAAGAAGTAGTAGCGGTAGTAGCATTGCTGGTAGTCCGGGATGTTCCCGTTGTAGCTGCATAAAAGAGCCAGCAGCGATAAGGGAAAAGAATTCCAGTACAGAAATACGGCAAAGAGAATCAGCAAGATCGAAGCAATTTAATTGAAGTGCTCTTTAAAATCCAATCGATGAAAAGTAAAGTGAACCACCCAAAACAGGAGAAAGAGACCGAATAAGGCAATACGAGTTTCCTTATGCTACCTGCACTAAGGTGATCAGATGTGCTGGTGATGCCTGGGTTGTCCTCTGGAGAACCCCAGCAAATCCCCATTTGAATCGAGCACTTTGTCTTCCCGTTGTTAACCAAAATTAGAACGAGAGGGAGAATAGGTGCCTTAATCCCACGAGATACGCTAGCGTTCTAGCGTTATTCAGATCAACGCTGCGATCAAATCATTCCTCGTTAAACACCCGATTTCGTTCATGTTCCTCTCTCTTCCCCTTCTTTTTCTCCCCTCTTCTATTTCTCTTTTTCCCTTCCACTATTGTTTACACGTTAATTTAATACTATAAAAGTGCAGTAAGTCACTCTGTTCAAGAGATTGAGTAAAAGCAGGCTCCTTCGCACCAGTATTCAAAAGTCAACTGCCGCGGCCGGGGGTTTAGTCAAGGTCAGAGCGAAGAAATTTTCTATTCAATAAAAGCCGGCTGAAACAACTGTGAACTGTCATAAACGCAATGAGACCGGGTTCGGGAAGGATACCGAAAACGAGAAAATAATAAAATAAATAAAAGGTGCATAAAATTCCGTTTAATGACACCAAAACAAATTCCATTCCTCACTCTTGAGTTTAACTGGTTGCTCTGAGGCCAACAAAAAATGGTTGCTCAACTTGCTGCCCACAAAGTTAAGATTTTGCAGTGATGCGAATTATTTGCAGGGGTTTGTTGTCTGAAATAGGATTTCTTCGTAGAGCAGCAGCGAAGCGTCAAGCACCGGGAACCAACCAACAGGCAATGCCGAGTAATCTTCAATTGCTCGAAATATACGGCTCCAATCAAACCCAATTCTGGCTCTAATTGAATATCAGCCATGCCCTCGTGTGTGTTTCTTTTGTATAGTTCCCTCAGCTTCTTCTCTTAGCAGGGCCAGCAATACTTCCTTCTGGGTGATGATTTTGCCTCTCATCTTCTTTCCTATCTGTGGCTTTTCCCGGTCTATTGCCTTTTCCCTTTATCACTAAAGATAGAAGATAGGTTGTTCTATCTTCATTATCCATTGAGCCTGCTCTAAATAATCCTCTTTTGGCCGGATCATTACCATTTCCAATATAATAAAAAAAGGCTAATTTTTTCATAGTTTTAAATCAGTCTATTGATAAATTTTGGAGTATCACTGGATCTATAAACAAATCTATATGGGTCTGTCCTAATCCTAACGACTTTGGGATGGGATGGGATGGGACAAAATAATTTCAGGACCAGACGAGACATGGGACTGGGTTATCCTGTCCTTGTCCCGTCTCAGTGTATATAATCTAAAAAAAATTTGGAAATATTTAACAAATTAACAAAGACCACTCCCTTACCCTAATTTCTAATACCATTTGGAGCTCCCCATTAACGGCTTCTACTCTTGCAGATCTCCCTCTCGTCTCGGCCTCTCATGCCATGTGATCCAGCTACACTCGTCACTGTCTATCACCAACTCATGCTTTGTCTCCCGACAAGATCGTCAATTAATTTTCATGGGCCAGTGGCTTGTCGTGGCGTTTCGGTCTCTCTCACACCCTCTTCCTTCTTCTTCGAGTCTGCTTAGCCTTCGACTCTTGATCCCTACCAATCATCAAGGTAAAAGGGTGCTCTCCTTATGCAATCTCCCAATCTAATGAAATTATAAGACTCCCATGCTCCTGTGACTAATTTTCTTGTATTTGAGAGACCTAATCACGGAAGGGATCCTCGGCTAATTGATTAATTCTCACTGTGTCTCTCCCCACGCCAGCTCTGCTTCACGCAGGGATGTGTAGGAGATGCTTATAGTCTAATTAGTTTTTATTTTCAAAGCAAATTGTCTCTTGAGTCCATTTCCCTCTCGCTAGCTCAGAGCTTTGTGAGACTCTCCCCACCAGTGCTGAGATCGCCGTAGCTGGTCAAACTGATAATCCTTCTTGGGCCTTCACTCTACTGACTGCTCTAAACATTACGTCGTCGTGAAAGCCCTTACCCCCGTGAGTCGTGTTCGGCGGTCTCTCTCCCCCTGTCGTCGCCTCGAAGCTCATCCTTCTTGAGGCTCTGCTATCTGATCTCTGATTGTGTAGCTGTGAAATTCTTGCCCTGTCCCTCCGGCTTTGAACTCCCCAAGATGCTGTGCACTTTGTCACTAAACTCCCCTATATCGCTCTCACAGATTCTTCTCGCCGGGGCCTGAATTTCATCTTTGAGGCGATAAACTGTCTGATGTAAAGAGGTGTTTTTGTTACATTTAAAATGTCACTATGTCCATTCAAAGGCCCAAAATTAAATTTTCATAGACTTTCAAGGCCCAAAAAAACAAAAACGAAGTCACAAGCCTAATAAAAAATTAAATAAGGTCCAAAACCCAAGGGGGTAGAGGGATGAGATGTCCCTATCCTGTTCCTATTCACCAGGATGAGACCAGGACTGGCCTATCCCAATCCTGTCTCGTCCCGTGAATACCGCTAAACAAATCTAGATATTTGGAGTTATAATGGTTTGGTGTGGCACATTTTATTGGATTCACGATTGGAGGGGGAATAAGCACGTTTGATTTTCTTTTTTTTTAGGAAAATGACAAAAAAACTAGAAATTACTAAATTTCAGGTCAGGTTTGGTAACAATACTTAATTTGCAAATAACAACAAATTTTTATTGATATTCCTTACTTGACATTTAATAATTTTTACCTTCTTTTTTGGTTATTTTTCCTTTTTTTTTTTGGACTAGGTTTTGGGTCATCTATTATGCAACTGTGTTTATAGGCTGACAATGATGGTTGATGTTGTCACTTATTAAGTTAATTATTTATAATAACTATTTTTTAAAAAAAATATTTTTGTTGATTTTGTTCATTGAACTATTCATCGATCAAAACCACTTAACATATGGAATCACAACAAATATTACTCCTCCGGTCCTAATTATAAGACCCAATTGACTTATTTGAGGAGATTAAGGAAGTAAGTTAAGTTGGTTATTTATAATAAATAAGTGTTATCATTCCTAAAATATCCTTGCTAATTAAGTATATTGGCTAAAACTATCATTATTAGAAGGATTATCTTGGAAAAAAATACATAAATATAAGAGACAAAATGGATTGGGTCTTATAATTAGGACCAAATAAAAAGTCAAATTGGGTCTTATAATAAGGACCGGAGGAGTACTTGAGAGTTAAATAGATAACTAAACTTGTTTTTTTAATAATAATCCAAAATAACTTATATTTTTATAAATTTGCTAGTTCAAACATAAATTAAATTGCTCAATGAAATTTTTAACCAATTTTTCAAAAGGCCAATAAAAAATAAGCTATTTTTTTCACCCTCAAACCCACAACCCCAGTGTTTTTGGGCTTTTGCTTTTTCATTGCTATTCGGCATTGCCATTTGTTTTGTTATGCCTTTTCACGGGTCTTACATCAATTTTTTCATATGTTTTGCTTCATTCCCTAATCCAGTCTTGTTCAGTTTGAGTTCTTCTCATAAGCAGAAGAAGGAAGCGGAGAGAAAGTAAAGTGAAAACATTTCTCTTCCAAAAATTAAAATGATAAGAATGTCTCCACTTAGCTTTCTCTTTACTTCATCTTCATTTATTATTTTTATCATTGATCAAATCATTGAGATTTAATATATTGTCAAAATATTATTATAATATTAATATTAATTAATCAGTACATATTTAAGTGATAGAGATTAACATACACGCACCACCACCTTTGCAGGGTTTTATTAAAATATTTTATAATTTTTATATTTTTTATCTCTTGCGTTTTGATTACTATAATATTTATTTATATAGGTTAAATTTATTTACATGCATTTTTATTATTTAATATTATTATAATATATTAAATATTAGCTATTGGATATATAGTTAATTTCCAGATATCATAAAAATTAACTAGTCAATTGTTTATAAAAAAAATGTGCGTTGATTTGTTTAAAGCATGTATTTTAATTATTTGCATTAGAAATTATTCTATGAATGGAAAAGACCAATAAAAAACCTGAAAATTATAAAATTAAAAAAAACTATGCATGAAATATTTCGTTATAGCTTTTAACACCATAACCTTTTCTTATGTAAAAGCATATATGAAGTTTTTAAAATGGTAAAAAAAAAAACCATGATTATTGAATCAACTAACGTTGACTGTTTGGCAAACATATAGGTAAAAAATGGCACAAAAATGTTAAAACCATTGAAAATTTTATGTGTATTTTTACTCTATTTTCTTGGTTGATATATTTGTTAAACAGTCAATGTTAGTTTAAGACAATATTTCATGGGTTGATTTGCACCTTAACCCATTATTAATTTACTAGTTACACTTAGAAAAAATTAGTAAAAAATCCCTGTTTGAAATTTTAATTGGTCAGAAGGACCTGAAATTGTGTAAGTGCAAGTATGATCCGTGAGTGCAACATATCATCCGCTGATCATTTGCTGCGTGTGACATATTGCACATAGCGGATGATATGTTGCACTCACGGATCATACTTGTACTTGCACAATTCAATTCAGGTCTTTCTGTTTAATTAAAATTTCAAACATGGATTTTTTTTACCAATTTTCCCTTACACTTATCTAATAAAAAAAAGTCTTTATAGAGTAAAATAGCATCTAGTATCTTAATATTATTTTTTAGGTGAGCATGTTAATCTTAATTATCATGCATCCATTGCTCCAGTAATATTTTGATGGTCCATCTACCATGTTAATGTTATTTTTAGTTATATCTAGCAATCTAATTTCATTTATGATTTAAAATTCTAGATGCGTCATAATCAAAACTAGGGTGCTGAAAGAACCAAAAGCTAACATTAAGGTGTTGGATATACTATAAATAAGTATTAGATGTACCTAGAAAATAATATTAGGGTGGTGAATGCTACTTTATTTTTTTATTTTTTAAAATTACCTCTAGTCTTTAACATAAAAACCAATTGACTAATTTGAGTAGTTAAAAAAATTAATTAAATTAATTATTTGTAATAGATAAGTGTTGTCTTTCTTATTGTTCTGCTTGGATGGGAAGAAAAATTAGAAGGAAAGAAAATGAGAGGAGAGGAAATAAAGAGAAGAAAAACTGAAGAGAATATGTCATTGTCCATCTTCTGGATAGATGAGAAAATAAAAAGAAAAAAATAAGCAAATATATTAAAATATTTTTATCAAAACATATTATATTTAAAATTAAATCAAATTAAAGATTCTAATAGAGAAAACATCCTAAGACTAGCACAATCAAATAATTTAAAATCAAGTTATTTGATTTATATATATTTTCATATTATTATATTTAAAACCAAATTATTTAATAAAAATATCATTTTAAGATAAAAATAAAAAGTAAATAATTTTTTAAATATAATAAAAGAAAATAAATATAAGAGGAAGTGAAAGGAGGGAAGTCACCAAAATTTTGTTTTTTTCCCTAAATTTGAAGATAAAATGAGGTATGAAACTTATATTATTTTTTCTCCTACTTTTTCTTTCTCCTGCATTTTCTTTCATATTCAAGCAAAGAAAAACTCATTTCTCCTCATATTTTCTCTCTACTTTCTGCCTTCCCTAATTTTTTCTCAATCCAAGAAAAGGGTAAAATACTCTTACAAGTTATGTGTAGTAGTTAGAACTATCAATTGATGAAACTTTAAGACATGCAATTACCATAAGAACTACTTTAAAAAAAATTAAATAAATGTAAGAAATAAAGTGGGTTGTGGTTTTATATTTATGATTAAATTAAATATCAAACTAAATTTTATATTAATAACATGAGGTAATATATTTTTAGTTTTAAATTTAATCTAACTATTTTATTAGTTAATTAATTTAGTGATCATTGATAGTATACTGACAATAAAATTGATTGAGAGTATATGGATATTTATTTGGCAAAATAATGCGGATTGTTTTTAGTGAAATATATATATATATATATATATATTATATATATGAATATTTATTATTTTATCTTATTTTTGTGCAATTAAAAAGGTAAAATAAAACATCCGAGGAACTAGAAGGCGGATTGGGTCGTGTTCGCCCGTCCGCCAGCATTTGCCGCCGGTAATAATTCTCCCGTTGAGCCAAGGAGCGTTCATCTGAAATACTGACGTTAAAATTAACAATGGCGTGGAAGGAAGATCATTAGGGAAGGAAGTGGTGGGACCGAGAGAAAGGGATTAAGGAGCCTGCGCCCTGCAGTTGACTTGACTCACAGACTCAGCTGGGTTGAGCGTCATGTATCAGCTTCCTTTGCGATATCAATGACCTGAAAGTATAGGATTGTGATTGATCCAAGTTGAAGTTTTGGCCAAAAGTTAATGGCGAAAGTTTTATGCGATTTTCGGTTCCTTTTGTTGGTGGCAGCTGGGGTCTTCATCTACATCCAGGTCTGTGGCCTCCTAACCCTAACCCTAACCCCGTGTTTCTTATTCTCCTGGGGTGACGTACACCTTTGTAAGATATTGATATTGCTTTCGCTGCTTTAGATGAGGCTTTTCGCTACACAGTCCGAATATGCTGATCGCCTCGCTGCTGCTGTAAGTCCATTACACCTCTTCTCAACAGAAATCTTATTCAACTGTCACTCTTTTTACACTTCTATATACAGGATGATAGTTTATAACATTATTAACAAATTGCCATTTGGTCAATAGCCTCCTAAGCGCTTCACCAGTTTCTCTATATGATAGTCCTAACAGAAGTCCCCTCCCTGATTGTCCTCTAGGGTTTTGTACGTCAATATACCCTTGAAAGTCATTCAAATGGACCCGACTGACATCTTCATCAGGAAGATCTTCCAGTTGAACAGGACTTGAGTGATAGGTTGGCCCTTTCTCTGAGTGAATCTTCTGTGCAGTATTCTCTCAGCAGTAGGTTTTGCTGGCTAGTACTATATGCTTCATTCAAAATGAGACCTAGGAATTTTTCGGAGCATGTTTTCAAAACTTTTCACCTTTCATCTGATCCATTCCTATGCCAAAATACGGCTACCATTCAAAGTTGAATGAAGAAGATGCTGCATCAGCCACTAAGTTAATGTCATAGGCAATCCGGGGTTTGTCAACAACAGTGATTGCTACTGGTCACAAATTAAACAAGCACAACTACCTTCAACAGAGTTTGTCTGTACTGATGTTCTTTTCTGGGAAAAAAGCTTGGCAGGCTTTGTAAGTGGTGGGTTTTTCTTATTTGGTAGTGTTCATGAGAGTCACGGCCCAGACCTATCTATTTTGTTGCTCGATTGCCAAGAGTGTTGGTTAACTTTTGCATGCCTCAGGAATTATTCAGCAGCTATACCAGATGCTATTCCAAATTTGTTGTTGTTTGACAGATTGAAGCTGAAACCACTGTACCAGTCAAATGAGATCACTGATTGATCAAATCAGCTTGCAACAGGGACGAATTGTGGCCCTAGAAGGTTAGATATTTTTGTTGAAGAATTTAATTTTGCATCTAATTTAAGTGCAATGAAGAAATGATTCAAAGGCATGTACTCGGTCCTTATATTATGATTCGAAGGCTTGTACTTGGTCCATATAAGCTGTTGTCTAGACTGCGCACAATTGTGTCAAAAGGTAATGTGTGTGATAAGTTCACTCTTGTTCTGGTTCTTTTTTTTTTTTTTTTTGGGGTTTTGGAAACACTTAGTGCATAGCGCTTACCCCTTTGGCGGGATCAAGAAATCCAATTTCTCATTGTGTTTTTTAACCTTTTCGCTCCTCTAATGTGCAGTTTCATTTTCTCCCCATTCAAGATTATTTTAGCCCATAATCCTTTAAAAAGATTATGACCTATCAGATGTGCTCGTTGAACTTGGAAATTCATTATCCATGGTGCCTCTTAACCAGAGAAAAGCACAGGGGATATAGTAGAATGTGTGTCTGTGAGAGAGAGAGAGAGAGAGCAATTAAATTCATCAACAAAAACGAAAAGCAAACCTCCTATCCCATTATAACTGGAAGTTGTTTATAATTTGACCAACCTCGCTCAAGTAGGTACCCTTTAACTGCTAAACTTATTGACTACTAGCAAACTTCATTAATTAACTAGCAGAAAATAGAAGCTAGCTTTGACCATAAACTATAGACAGCAAAACCAGAAAAATATGGACAAGTGTATTCTGATAGTTTTCCAAGGGTATAATAGAGAAATCAAATGGAAAATGACAGAAAAAATGAAGAAACTCTCGTGTTTGGGAGGGTAGTCTCTCCCAAAAGTCACCACTCAAAATTTGTTATCCCCCTCATGCCCACACAACGATCTATTCAGTATTCTGAGATTTCGTACTCTCTGTCTCTCTTCTAACAGACCCATTACATTTCAGGCATCATCAAAATGCATGGATTTATGCTCTGGCACTAGAATGGTACAATGTTGCGTATTGCATTGGAGAATAGAACAGGGGAGAGAATTGATAAAGAGAAAAGGATGCAATTCAAAAAATGATAACAGCCCCCCTCTACTATTGTAGCTAGGAGTAGCTTTTTACAATGTGATTAACACTGGTCTGGTGTATATTCTTAAATACTTGACTGACTTGTTGGCTATAAACAGAAACAGTAACCTATTCTGACCATCCCCTATTAAAAAAAAAAAAAAAAATCTCAAGTATGATAAATGTCCCGTTATACAAGATTTAACTAATAAATTGTCTAGTTTATCCAAACCTAATAATTAATTGAGCCTTATTGCTATTTTCCGTGCACACGCATACTGATTTGATTCTAGTGTATTTGGTGATCACTGTAAAGTATCATCTTAAGTTTTATTGGACTACGCTGTCTTATGTTCTCTTTCACTAATGATGCTATTAGTTGGATAGGTGCTCCTAAGCTCATCCGATTAGTGTAATGGCACTTAATTTTGCTCATTTATTTACTTCCTTATCCTGCATCAAATATTTTTTGTTATATTAGATGTTTGTCATGTTCAATTTTTTTTTTTTTAACCAAGACACTGGTTCAATTTCAGAAGAAAAGAATCTTCGAGACGAAGAATGTGGACAGATGAGATCTCTTGTTCAAGATCTTGAAAGTATGTTATTATTTGTATTAAGGTCTCTCTTCATTGGCTATTGTTTACTTAATCTTTTTTACATGACTCTAGGTCAACTTATAAATCTTCAATGTTTAGCATCTTTGTGAAATCTAGCTTTAGGTAGAAATATTAAGTAAATTGATAGTATCTGATTTACCTTGAGGCCATTAAAAGCAGAGGCAAGGAATTGGAAGTTTGAGATGCTAGGCAAAAAGGGAGGCTATCATGAAGTTTTAAGCCTTCAGTAAGATGAGAGCAGATGAGCCATATTCATTAGTTGAAACTGATAATAAACTTTCCACCTAAATCTGATTTTTAACCGTTCATTTTTTGGGGGTTAAGTTGTCTTCTTACATTTTAGAAATTGCTAGTTAATGCTTATACTAATTCAGGTTGGTACAAGCATCTTCTTGACATTTGCTTCAAGAAAATTTGTGGCCACCTTTGAATAACTTAATTGTTTGAGGTGGCATGGCCATGTACAGAGAAGGTCATTATAGGGAGTGTGGTGTCTATTGAAGATAAAATGGTTGAAAATTGTTTGAGGTGGCATGGGCATGTATAGGGAAGGTCATTGTAGGGAGTTGGCTTGGAGGGTAAATGAGACAGTATGTAGTTCTTTGAAAAAGAGGTAAAGTAAGATTGAAGAGAATGTTCAATGAGGTCATTGAACGGGATTTTTTAGTTAACAACCTATCTAAAGATTTGGTAGTTGATAGAGCATAATGATGTCATGTGATCCATTTAGTTGACTCTACCTAGTGGGACAATGCTTGTTGTTGTTGTAGTACTGAGGAGTATTTCTTTTGTGTAATACCTTTTTTCCCCTTAAAATTTGATTTGATTAGTGTACTGCTTATAAACAAATAGCGTATGTGATCCATTTAGTTGACTCTACCTAGTGGGATAATGTTTGTTGTTGTTGTAGTACTGAGGAGTACTTCTTTTGTGTAATACCTTTTTTCCCCTTACAATTTGATTTGATTAGTGTACTGCTTATAAGCAAATAGCGTATGTGGCACTGGCCTCTGCTCTATGTAGGAATAGGGTTAATAAATGCTAGCAATTGGGTTGGTATATGAAGTTAATAGAACAATTCTGTATATCTTATATTATTGAATGAGAAGGAATACATCATATATATAACCGAACAAGGAAGACTAAAGATAAGATACTGTTATCTATCCCTATCTAATCTAAGACGGAAAGATAAAATGAGTAACTGAAAATAAAACTACTTAATAAGTAAAACTAAGTTTATTTGGCTTGGGCCTTGGGCTTTGTCTTTCAACACTCCCCCTCAAGCTGGAGAATAAATGTTGACCATTCCCAGCTTGCTCTTTAGTCCTTCAAATGAATCTCTTGGTAATGGCTTAGTAAGTAAATCTGCTACTTGACTTTTGGTTCTGATGTAGGACAATTTGATAGTGCCTTCTTCAATTTTCTCCCTGATGAAGTGTCTATCAATTTCAACATGTTTTGTCCTGTCATGATGAACAGGGTTTCTAGCCATTTCTATAGCTGACTTATTATCACACCATAGTTTCATTGGTGCATTGTGCATAAGTCTCAGTTCTTTTAGAACTCTGATTATCCAGATCCCTTCACAGACTCCGAGAGCCAAGGCTCTTAGTTCTGCTTCAGCACTGCTCCTAGAGACCACAGGTTGCTTCTTACTTCGCCAAGTCACTAGGTTGCCCCACAAGAAAGTAGTATACCCTGTGGTGGATCTTCTATCCAACCACGATCTTCCATGGTCTGCATCAGTATAAATTTCTATACTTCTAGACCCATCCTTTCCAAAAAACAATCCCTTTCCTGGATTCATTTTTAAGTAGTGCAGAATTCTCTGAACAGCTCCCATATGATGCTCTTGGGGTTTATTCATGAATTGACTTACTACCCCTACAGCATAACTTATATCTGGACGAGTATGAGCTAAGTAGATAAGTTTTCCTACTAGCCTTTGATACCTTCCTGTGTCGACAGGTATACCATCCGCTTTGTATTCTAAGTTGCAGTCAGCCTCCATGGGAGTTTCTGCAGGTTTGGCTCCAAGCATCCCAGTCTCTTGCAGTAAATCAAGAGTATACTTCCTTTGGGAGACACTAATTCCCCTTTTAGATCTAGCGATCTCCATCCCGAGAAAATATCTTAGTTGTCCAAGATCCTTCATCTCAAACTCAGTTGCCAAGGATTTCTTCAATCTTCTTATGGCATCCTCGTCATTTCCTGTAATTACAATATCATCCACATATACTATAAGGACAGTTATTCGGTTGCCTGCATGCCTTATGAACAGGGTATGATCTGATTGGCCTTGTGAGTATCCCATTTTTTTCATGGTACGAGAAAATCTCCCGAACCAAGCTCGAGGGGATTGTTTCAGCCCATACAACGACTTCTGCAGTTTACAAACCTTTGGAGAATTATTACTGGAATTCTGTAATCCAGCTGGCATCTCCATATATACTTCCTCTTCGAGATCCCCATTTAGAAAAGCGTTTTTTACATCCAGCTGGTAGAGAGGCCACTCTAGATTTGCTGCTACTGATAGGAGAACCTTAATGGTGTTAAGTTTTGCTACTGGGGCAAAGGTTTCCTGATTGTCAATTCCGTAGGACTGTGTATATCCCCGGGCTACAAGCCTGGCCTTATACTTACTTATGCTTCCATCTGGATTGTATTTTATGGTAAACACCCATCTGCAACCCACTGTCTTCTTTCCTGGGGGTAGATCAGTGATTTCCCATGTTCTGTTTTTCTTCAACGCTTCCAATTCTTCTTTAACAGCCTGCTTCCAAGTTGGGTTCTCGATTGCCTCATGGAATGTCCTTGGTATCCTCTCATTTGAGAGATTTGTAGTAAATGCCTGCATTCTTGGTGATAATTTATCATATGAAACAAATTTACTAATTGGATGCTGAGTACAAGATCTCACACCTTTTCTGAGAGCAATAGGCCAACCGAGATCATCAGGATTTAACATTGAGTCAGAGTCCTGGTCATGCCTTGGAATGGGAGGGACTCCAGTTTCTTGTTGCTCGTCTACATCATTTGACTCGGCGTTTTGCTGCTGGTCCACCCCTATGTCATTTTCCGCACTGGTTCCCAAGTTGGTATGGTTAGGTTGAGAGTTTTGGTGTTGTGGGATTGTTGGTTCGAGGTTGTCTATTAGCTCAGGTTCAGGGACAATAGGTGAATTAGTAGGGATGTCGATGTTTAGGTGTGTTGAATCTGGAGTTAGCCATTCGTTAATGTCATAATTCTCCCCCTGAATGGGTATTTTGGGATAATAAGCATCGGCCTTAGAAAAAACAGCATCTTTAGTGATATAGACCCTTTTTGTTGTCGGGTGGTAACATCGATATCCTTTTTGAGATGGGGAATAACCAAGGAAGATACATTTTAATGCTCGGGGCTCAAGCTTGTTACCATCATTATGGTGTATGTATACTACACAGCCAAATACTCTCAGGGGAATGTCTGAGACTAAGGGTGAACTGGGGTAGGTTGCAAGCAATTTTTGTATAGGGGTTTTGTAGTTTAGGACTCTTGAGGGCATTCTATTGATCAGGTAGGTTGCAGTGAGAATAGCTTCTCCCCAGAATGAGTTTGGAACATTTCGGGCAATCATAATGGCTCGGGTTATTTCTAGGAGGTGTTGGTTTTTCCTCTCAGCAATCCCATTTTGTTGGGGTGTGTAAGTACATGAGGTCATTGAACGAGTCCTAATCATATTTAAGGATTGGGTTGTTGACAGAGCACGATGGCGTCGTGTGATTCATGTAGCCGACCCCACCTAGTGATAAGGCTTGTTGTTTGGTTGTGTAAGTACATGAGGTTTGATGGTGGATTCCCTGTTGATCAAGGAATTCCTTGAAGGCTGTACTAAGGTATTCTCGTCCATTGTCACTTCGTAGTATTCTAATTACCCCTTGAAACTGAGTTTTTATAAATGCGTGGAAGCTTTTGAAAACTCTAAGAATTTCAGATTTTTCTTTCATCAAGTATACCCAAGTCACTCGAGTGTGGTCATCAATAAAAGTCACAAACCACCTAGCATTAGAAGTTGATTTAATTCTTGTGGGTCCCCAAATGTCACTATGTATTAGGGTGAATGGTGATGTTGGTTTATAAGGTTGTTTAGGATAGGAAGTTCTTGTTTGTTTGGCAAGTTGACAGGTTTCACACAAAAGGGGGGCTGAATTCTTATTAAATAAGTCTGGAAACAAGTGCTTCATATAATCAAAATTGGGGTGGCCTAGCCTAGAGTGCCACAATAATACATCTTTATTCAAGGAATCTGAACTAAATAACGCCTTGCTCACATATTTATCTGTGCCTTCAAGATAATAGAGTCCATCCCATTCCTTAGCAACGCCAATCCTCCTCTTCGCTGTCAAATCCTGAAAAACACAACCAACATCGTCAAAGATCACTCTACATTGATGACTCTTAGTTACTTTGCTTACTGAAAGCAAATTACATGCCAGTTCTGGAACAAATAAAACATTCTGCAGCTCTAATTTCTCAAGAATTTTGACAGTTCCAACACCACAGACTTTGGAAAATATTCCATTTGCAACTTTCACCTTTAGGTTCTCGTGGTGGCAGTACTTTAAGGTTTGGAATAAAGATTTGTTACCGGTCATATGATCTGTAGCTCCTGAGTCAACGATCCAAGTATTATCATTGGTCATTATGGCGTTTAGAGCTATGATAGAATTACCTGACTTTACTAGATTCGCCTTTGGAGTCACAGATGAGTTATTGTGTCCCTCAAGGATCCGTTTGAGTACTTGTAATTCTTCCCGGCTTAAGGTTTCTCCATTCTTCTCCTCATCAACTACTGCAGAATAGCTCTTGCTTTCAGGTCTTCTTCTTTGTTTCAGATTAGCCGGTTTGCCATGCAGCTTCCAGCATATGTCCCTAGTATGACCATTTTTGTTGCAATGATCACACCAGCCTTTTGAATTCTTCTTTCCTCTTGGTTCAGGTACATTACTGCCTTGTACTGTCAAGGCAGAGTTTTCTGATGGTGTAAATATATTCTGAGTGAGTTGCTTCCTGCTCTCTTCACATTTTACCATGTTGAATGCTTCAAATAACGATGGCAGCGGCTTTAATCCCATGATTCTTCCTCTCACGTCTTCAAATGCATCTATAAGGCCGAGCAAAAATTCATAGGTCCTTTCTTTCTCAACTATTTTTCTGTATAATTGAGCATCACCACTGCAACTCCATTCATGGATATCAAACATATCCAGCTACTGCCACAGGCGCGTAAGGGCAGTATAATACTGAGTTACAGTCATAGAACCCTGTTTTAGCTCTCTTTGTAGTCTCTTGATATGAAATAGTGCTGCAGTGTTGTCTATGGCAGAATAGGTTCTTCTTGCTGCGTCCCATATCTCCTTTGCTGTCTTAGCAAGTAGGTAGCCTTCACTAATCTCTACGGTCATCGAGTTACACAGCCAAGTCATTACAAGGTTGTTCTCAGCAAACCATGTATTATAATTACTGTCACCAGGTTTTGGCTGTGGGGCTTCTCCCGTGATGTATTCTTCCTTCCTTCTTCCTCTCAAATACATGAGAACACTTTGAGACCACTGTAAGTAATTGCTTCCATTCAGTTTATGGGCAATTATCATTTGTTGTGTCTCAGCAGAAGATACTGGCTCTGTTCCCATCGGTGATGATGTAGACGAAGAGGAAGCAGATTGTTGTGATATTATACCTGCTGTAAGAGCCGAGGGTGGCGCGTTTGGGTTTCCTCCGGATCGTCTCATTGATCCGAACAAGGGTGGAAGTTCCTCAAGTGTCATCGTCATCTGTGTCCGACTCGTGTAACTGGTTCCTCAAGTCGCGACTCGTGTAACTGGTTCCTGGGTGCGTCGAGAAGCAGTAGTTAGTGTACGTTGCCGAGTACCTCTGGTCGCAAGGAGGCTCCTGGTCGCAAGTTCACGTCTCCGAGTCGCCGAGTATCTCTGGTCGTAGGTTCACGTCTCCGAGTCGTCGAGTACCTCTGGTCGCAAGTTTTTCGTCTCCAAGTCGCCGAATATCTCTGGTCGCGAGGAGGCTTCTGCTCTGGTCGCAAGTTCTCGTCTCCAAGTCGCCGAATATCTCTGGTCGCGAGGAGACTTCTGGTCACGTTGCAAGTTCTCGTCTCCAAGTCGCCGAATATCTCTGGTCGCGAGGAGACTTCTGGTCACCGGTTCGTGTTTCTGAGTCGCCGAGTACCTCTGGTTGCAAGGAGGCTTCACGTGACTTTAACAAATCGTGATGAACAGGGCCGAATTCGCACCCGCTCTGATACCATGAAGTTAATAGAACAATTCTGTATATCTTATATTATTGAATGAGAAGGAATACATCATATATATAACCGAACAAGGAAGACTAAAGATAAGATACTGTTATCTATCCCTATCTAATCTAAGACGGAAAGATAAAATGAGTAACTAAAAATAAAACTACTTAATAAGTAAAACTAAGTTTATTTGGCTTGGGCCTTGGGCTTTGTCTTTCAACAGTATACACGTGGATTAGTTACTGGGTTATAAAGTATAAGGTATAAACTACTACTGTTACAGAAGTGAAATAGGATATGCAAGGAGTTTACAGTATAAATACTTGCCCATGTACTTCAATTTGATTGTTGAAAATAAAGTACACATTCCTTTTTCTCTTCTGTTGATATCTCTTTTCTCTGTGTCTATACTAATTTGGCATTAGAGTCCGTCTCTGGCTCTGATGGCGCTGAACATCCAAACTTTAGAGGGCATAGGTTATCTTGAGCAACACCTGGACATGAACACAACACTAATCCAAGGGAGTCCAGTCCATCTTGAGTGGCAAGCAACGATGTCAATGACTTGAAACAATCAATGTTTAGAATTGAGGCTTGTTTGCAAGATCTGATGGGCACGACTGTAACTTTAGCACGTCAAGGTTGAGAAGAATGTGTGGGAAAATCTTCAAGTGGTTTACATCGCAACAAGAACCTTAAATTTGGTACTTACACCTTAAGTGCCAAATTCATTGTTTTGATATTCAGGCACTTGCGAAGCACAACCATGTTGAATTTCCAGAATTTGATGGCTTTGATTTTCATGGCTGGTCCTTCCATTATCGACAATTTTTCATTGTTGATGCAACTCTGCTTGATCATCGCATTTGCTTGATTAGTATCCACTTAGAAGGCAAGGTACTGAAATGGAAGATCACTTTTATGAAGTCAAGTTGGGAAGATGAAATTTCATGGGAGGAATAATTCTGTCACATGGAGGCAAGATTCACCAAGGTTTTTCAAACTAACCTTGTGATCTAGACTAAGCAGTTGCAACAATTACAGTGGACAAATATATTGAAACTTTTGACGGGCTTCTTACAGGGGTTGACATGCTAGATGTTGTGATAGATAGTTTCTTAGGAGGCTTGCGTTCTGATATTCAGCCTGTTGTCATTGCCTTCAAGCCTCGTGACGATGATGTAGATGCCAAGAATCCAAGCATGGACGATCAGCTTTTTATGTGTAATGTCGACATTTCAATGAAGAAAAATTGGTAGCCAAAGTTAATGATCTTTCATACATCCCTTTAGGGAAGCAAATTATAAATGTGATGATCAAGTCATTAACCCTAGATAAGTTTGAGGGGTTTAGAAGTAAGTTGGAATGATTAACATCTGTTCGCTAGCTCGAAGAGTGTTAGCAAGTAGGCTTGCTCCCACCCTAGGCCTAAACCTAGTGGTTAATCTAGTTATTATTATTACTATTACTCATTTGTTATAATCCTAGCCTTTAATATTTATGATTACATGAGAGACATAGGAGATATGATTAGATTCAGATTGATTCCCTTTTATTTCCCCTTTTCATCGATACAGGTATTCAGCCATGAATAAAAGACAGCTATTTGCTACCCAAAAACTTCAAAAATTTTGTTTGAGGTGCGAATATGTTATTGGTAACTTCATAATTGAATCACCTTTTAGGATATTGTGATATTTTGGCCATTAGGATACCGTGGGAACAAGTCATAGTTGGATGGCCTTTTAAGATATTGTGAGAATGTGACAATTTTGTTTGGGCATCAATATCTTGTGACAACTTGCAAATCATGTTTATGCATTCACTTATTTATTTTGGCGAGAAAGTAAGCAAACTTTTATTGGAAAATTGTAATCAAGGATTCAATATCACTTTGTTGTTCTGAAAAGTCTAGGAGGAAATGTTTGCTTTTATCTCAACATAATATGATATTTGGTTGTCTACTAGATACCTAGGAGCTTACCAATCTGTAAATAAATATTTCAGGAAAAGGCCTACAGAGGATGATTAACAAAGAACAGGTTTAACTCAAATTTGTTAGTCTGATAAGACTTTTTGTCTACAAATTTTCTTCCTAGAGTTTAAGGCGACTGATTATATGAATGAACCTCCCCACTGGAATTTCTAGGTCCCAGTGGCAGCTGTTGTGATCATGGCATGTAACCGTGCTGATTATCTAGAGAGGACTATTAACTCTGTATTCAAGTATGTCTTATAAACATATTTTCCTTCCTCTATTGCCTTATGCATTTTTTTTTTTGGGAACAATTATATCTAATGAGGCGAAAACTTCTCGATTCCCCAGATATCAAAGATCCGTTTCTTCAAAATATCCATTATTTATATCCCAGGTATTCAATGACTTATGGCTTGTAAAAGAAGTTTCTGTAGTCTTGTTGAACAGACTAAGTTACACTCATTATTTTGTCAACACATAGTTGAGGGTAGTCGTTTTTCTTTTCTTTTGTATTTTTTTTTTCCAGGATGGATCAGATCCAAGTGTCAAGAGCAAGGCTTTGAGCTATGATCAATTAACATATATGCAGGTATATTGATACAGAATTGAGTTTCTACACCTCTAAGGTTAATCGTGTTTGTTTATTTTTAATTTTACATGATCATTATTTGTCTTTTATGCATTATGTTAAGCCTGAATCGAAGAATAATGAGGGACATCACTTTGATCATGGAAGTAGTACCATTGCATTTGGTGCCTTTGATAAGCACAGAGAATAAAATGGTAAAAATAGGAAATATAAGGGGAAGAATTGCTGGAAAAAGTATGTGCAAGAATCTCAACATACTTTTTGATGGAAAGTTGGATTATGTCAATGCATAAGGGAGATTTACGTCCCCTTAAAGTAACAAAGCTAACCCCCCTAAGCCCCCGATACAGCTAGGAAAACACCATGAAATTGGCAAACAATGTACTGGTGGAGAAGGATAGGCATAAGAGATAGCCTCTCAACTTTCAAGAGGTTAGCTTCTCTCCAGAACTTCCCTGCCTTTTTTTTTTTGGGGGTCTAAACCTCCTATTGTTCATAGCTACCTTTAGTTGGGATCAATTTAGAGGTCCCTTTTATCTTTCTCCTCTCAGAAACCTATTGTAAATGATGCGAGAGTGTGTCAAATGAACAAGTCCCACATTACTTGGGAGTGAGAGAGTCCCAGTGCATCTATAGTAATATGTGATCTTGGGCTAGTGAATGGGCCAAGAGGAGAAGGGGGTTGTGGCTTGTGGGCTTGCATGTACAACAACTCATTGGAGTCATTGGAGGCAATCATAGTTGAAATCCAACAATTTCTCCTCCCTACGTGCGAGTTAAATACGAACTGGGTGCTTTTTATCGACACATGTCTTTACTTGTGTGCCTCTTCCGCTTTGTGGACAGATTTCTTTTTGGCATGTCTCGTGCCTACCCACAGCATATAAAAGGAGTGTTTTGTAGTGCCAAACAAGTCTTCGAGCACTCTTTCCTCCTCTGAAATATTCGGCCTCGAGTTTATTTTTTTCCCTTCCTGTTGTTCTGTCACCCTTTGTTCTCGTGAAAGATTTGTTTAATCTTGGGGAATGTCACATTTTTGAACCTGCTGGTATTGTGGAATATCTCTAAAGCAGAACTGATGAGATAATAGTTTAAGTGCTCTCTTGCCAAGAAATCTAAATTGAAGACCCTAGAATGTCTAAAGTATTTCCTGGGAATGGAGGTGGCAGGGTGCAAGAAAGTAGTTGTTGTCACACAAAGGAAGTACACTCCTGATCTGTTGAAAGAAACCAATATGATAGGATGTAAACCAGTAGACCTCCTAGCATATGCTTAACATATCCTTCCTAGTTGGCATGGTCAGCCAATTCATGAGCAATCCGACTATTGAGCAATTTAAGAATATTGAGATACTTGATGATGAAGATTAGCAATGGTATCTTGTTTAAGAAGAATGATTTTTGAGACATCATAAACCATACAGACGCTGGTGGGCTGGGTCAGTAATTGATGCACAATCTATTACAGGGTATTGCACTTATGTGTGGGGAGACCTAGTTATATGGAAAAACAAGAAGTAACGGGTTTTAATAAAAGAATTGCTGGCGCTGAATACCGGGTATTGTCTCTTAGTATTTGTGAGGGCTTTTGAATAACCCTATTATAACCCAAAAACAAAGGACAAGACATGTCTCATGCAATCAATCAGTTGCGAATATATTGACCAAGAGTCTAACCACAGTGAAGTTTGAAGAACTACAAAGCAAGCTAGGAATGTTGAATGTTCACTTTGTAGCTTGAGAGGGAGTGTGGGAGAGTTTGGCTGTGCTATTAGGTTTAATAATGTGTTTTACTTATTTTTATTTCTTAATGTTATTAGTTCTATCTTGTTTTTAATTATTCTTTGTTTCTTTATGCATGTTATTGTAGACTATAGTTTACCGGTTGGAACAATCCTTCATGCTAATAATAATTTGATGCAGCACTTGGATTTTGAACCAGTGCAAACTGAAAGGCCAGGGGAGCTAATAGCTTATTACAAGATTGCACGTAAGAGTTATCCTCTAGCTTTCCCTGTCTCTATCAGTTTTGTGTCTCCACCAGTTTTGTGTCTCCACGTAAATAATAGGTTGCATATGAGGTTTTTCTGTGTAGTTTAAAATACTTCATAATGCACAGGCGTGCATGTTGTTGCAAACTTTAGGTCACTTGAGAAAAAGGTTTTGTGCAACTACTTATGCACAGGCTTGACTTTCCCAGGTCACTACAAATGGGCTCTGGATCAGCTATTCTATAAGCATAATTTCAGCCGGGTAATCATCCTTGAAGGTGAAATGGGTGTTTTAATCTGTAATAATTATCTTTATTTTTCTTATGGGTTTATATTGGACCTTATTATATCTTTACTCAATCTCAGATGATATGGAAATAGCATCTGATTTCTTTGATTACTTTGAAGCTGCATCAACTATTCTTGACAAGGATAGGTATGCATTCAAGAAGCATGGTGTGCTCAGTTTTTTGCCCTCGACTCTATATATTTATGCCTCTATGATCTATGTTTAAAAGTTAATATTGCCTTTTTTAGATCCATTATGGCCGTTTCCTCGTGGAATGACAATGGGCAAAAACAGTTTGTGCACGATCCTTGTAAGTTTTTTTTTTCATGTCTTGTGTATACTTCATTTACAATACTGAAACGGTAGCCTAGAATTTAAAATTAGGCCCATATAGCTGTCACTTTAGGGCATATTAAAAATTGATTTGGAAAGCACTAGAGTTGAGACTGCTCAGGTTTATTTTACAATATTTATAACATGCAAATAGCAATAGCAGTTGGATTATCTTGTAGCATGGCTGTTTAGTTTCTCTCCTCCTCCATAATGCCTGTTTCCTTTAGCATTTACTGGCTCTTGTTTCTTGTGTTGTTCAGAAAAGCCTACTAGCCAAGCTATCCTCTCATTTTCTTGTTTGAAAACAGTGAACGTTTATTTTGTCCATTCCCCAAAAAGATAGTTACTGTTGCAGTAGTTTTCCCCCCCCCCCCTGTTTCATGAATCTTTGCAATACTCTCAATTTCAGAGGTTGAGGCGGTTACCTTTGATTAATTTCTAGAGGATAGAGTTCTTTTGGCAGTATGCTATTGATGCTTTCCTTTGTTTATTTGTTTAAAACTTTTATAGGAAAAAAAGTGTTTATAGCCAAATGCATGTGTTTTTAAGGCGAAATGTTTGTTCATAGATTTTGGCTCTGTGTTTAAATAGCTTATAGAAGTGCATATCTAAGAAAATCTTACAAGTTAAGCCGTGTTACTGTGAGAGTGGTCTAAAGAAGCTGAATTGTATTTGGGTAGTGATGGAAATGGCCCTTTACTTCTTACTTATGCAAGTGGCAAGAAAACTACTGATGGCCTTTGATAATTTATAGTAGGATGAATAAGAAAAGGAGGGATAAGAGTCTTGAGAGCCCATTGACATTTGAAAGGGTGAAATAGGAAATTAGTGACCCTTTACCCAAGGCAGTTAGAAGAAAGGAAATAATGAGTCGCGTGAAACAAAAGGGGTGGGTCCTGTGAAAGAGTGTATGTCCTTTGTGGTGGGAGAATGTGGCCCCTAAAGAACTAGGAGTATGGTCTCTTTGTAACACTGGCTGTCCCCCCGACGCCTTTCATTTTCCTTCATTTTCAATACCTGTGGCCATCTACTAAGACTTATACACTGGTAGATGTTTGTAGTTGTAATACTTGAAGGGAATTCATCAGATAGATACTCTGAAGTGTTTTAGCTGATAAAAGAATGAAAATAATTTTGCTCAAAATTATTTCAAGCCTAGCTTCTGCCTAAGCTATTTTTGAGCTTTCGTAGGGGCTTATTTTCATGAGATTGGATTTGAAGCTTGTGTAAATAAGCTGAAATCAGCTTGAAGAGGGATCATATGCACTAATAGTATGTTAAACCAAATACTTATAAAATGGTTCATCAGTTCTTATTGGCGTAGATAAGTGCTGCTGCTATTCCTATTTGGCCTATTTAAAAGGACCTTACAGAGGGGTAGAATTGCTTTCATGGCCTCTTTGATGTTCGGAGGCATAGTTATTATAAGAAAGTGTCCTTTGTTGACATCCAAAAGGGATTGGGGCATGTTGGATTAAATATTTGCTTTTCTCCATTTTGCGCTCTCTTGTTTCTCTTGTTTCAACTTTATCAAACACATATCAAACACATCCTCAGGTGCATGAGGATCTACGGGCATGTGAATGGATTTTTACTTAAGAGATAATCTATTAGAATTTTACTTGCTTGTTTTGCAAACGTTATCTTGAAATTCCTGGGTATCTAAGTGCCTTCTTATTAAGAACCTCATGATCCTAAAGTTCTTGTGATGGGGGTGAAACGACTTGGGTGAAGATTGCTACTGCTTTTCAGGTACATTATTATTTTGATGTAATCTGCAGATGAACTTTATCGCTCGGATTTCTTTCCTGGATTAGGATGGATGCTTACCAGATATATATGGGATGAGCTATCACCAAAATGGCCGAAAGCATATCCTTGACATTAGTAATTGTTATGCCATTTTGTTTTATTCTATTAATATTATGCATGCATATAATTTTTCTTTGACAAAATTTCACTTATTGGGATGACTGGTTGAGATTAAAAGAGAATCGCAGAGGGCGACAATTTATTCGTCCAGAAGTATGCAGAACATATAATTTTGGTGAGCATGTAAGTATGCTTATCATACTTAGAGTATTGTCATTGAATTAGATGGTTGTCTCGGGAACTTTAGTGGCATTACATTACACAGAGGGCACTCTTTTAGCATGATTTTTTGGTTTAAGAAATTACAAAGGTGATTGGTAAACTTCCATCTTTTCTGAGGCCTCCAAAGATACTCGGATTTCTTAGCTATATATGATTGTGTGGGTACATTGTACAATTCTTGTTGCATAGAGGTGTAATACAAGTTCATTTCATAAGCATCTGAAACCACTTGTTAAAATTTCAATCGCATCACTACTTCTATTGACTGACTAACTCTGCACTTGATCCTATGAGTGGGGTATTAAAGTGAGGTCATGAGGTTTTGAATCCCCCGTGTTTCTTCTTTTTTTTTGGGGGGAGGGGGGTTGATTGGAGTTGCACCCCAGCTAACATCCGTAGCCTTTTGGCCTAATGGTTGTGCTTGATCCTAGAAAGATCAGAACCCATTTTTCCTATTTGGTGTCTGTCTTTTTATTTCTCCATCATATTCAGCTAATGGCTATTTTATAAGATGGTTGTTTGCCTGTTCTCATTAACATTTTGTAGATGCCATAAAATGCTAATTATTTGTAACCTTTAAAAAAAAAAAAAGGGTTTCAATAGTAGTTTTGTGGGAAATACCAAGAGTAGTTGTGTCAAGTGAAACTTACTCGGTATGCCTTGAATAAAGTCAAGGGGTCAAGGATTCAAACCTTGTGGATAAAAAAACTTTTGAGGAGAGCCATGCATAATTGGGCTTAATAATGCTTGAAACTAATTGGTAGTGGCGTATATTGAATATTAAGATTCTTATTTTGTAATGAAAGCAATACCTATGAAAGAAATGGTTTCATAAATGAAGGAGGAAAACAGGGAAATAAGTACTTAATAAGGAGAGCACCATTAATGAAATAAACATGGAAAAATAAGGTGACTATGAGGCCAAAATCTCACGTGGTAAACAAGGGAGAATCAGGATATAAATGATCTCATAATGATCATATAATTATGAGATTCCAGCTATATGATATTTCAGGGAGCATTGGTTATTTGAAACATGGTCAATGATGTTTCTTCAGATTTTTCTTAGGACCTTTTTCTGATTCTCCATTTTGTTGTTTCAACACACCCCCAGCATCTGTGCTCTTGTCCTGCATCTTCTAAACTAGTGTAAATTTATTTCATTGATATATAAATACTATTTTTGAATATTGGAATGCTTATTTTATCGTCAGCTTGCTTAATTGTTTGATTGTGACCCACAAATGCTAGAAGGAAACACGTGTAAGATTTGCCTCACATCTTGCCTTATGGGATTTTTGTGCTCCTCTTAAGTCTTGTAATTTTCTCCAGGGTTCGAGTCTGGGTCAATTTTTTAAGCAGTACCTTGAGCCAATAAAATTGAATGATGTCCAGGTATGTATATATTCTTTTAACCGAATACACCGTAGACATGTTCCTTATAAATTGGAGTGATGCTTTATTACCTTGTGTTGTTGGAAGGTCGATTGGAAGTCAATGGACTTGAGCTATTTGCTGGAGGTGAGAGTTTTCTGTGTTAGTGTACATAAGCATTTGTATCAGAAGTTTTGTTTTTTGAATCTTGGGTTGCTCTCTCCAGGACAAATATATCAAGCACTTCTCAGACCTTGTTAGAAAAGCTAAGCCTGTCTATGGAGCTGACCTAGTTCTAAAGGCATATAATATAGACGGTGACGTGCGTATTAAGTATAAAGATCAGTCTGACTTTGAAAACATTGCCCGCCAATTTGGTATCTTCCAAGAATGGAAGGTGATTTAATTATTTTTCTACCTTGCCTGAAATCACTTTTAAAATGATGTGCCCTGTTGGTGTATTTATTATTTACGCTTGCATGTGATGTGTACCACATCATGTAAAGTTCTAGTGCTGATTTTTTTTCCCTCTTCAATAGAAAGATCTAAATTTGTCTGTCTCTTCTGAACTTTTCAGGACGGTGTGCCCAGGACTGCCTATAAGGGAATAGTCGTTTTCAGATATCGAGGCCCAAGACGTATATTCCTTGTTGGTCCTGAATCGTTGAAGGTACTTGGGATAGAAGATGCTTGATGCTGGATGAGGTAAATCAACATTCATATCCCACTTCATGATCACCTTAGAAAAAATGTTACTTTTGGACATTATAGGAGGTACCAATTCGAGGGTCCTCCTCTGCTTGATATTTTTCTTAAGTTCTGTGGTCTAATGCAAGTGTTAGTACTGACTAATCTGCATTGATATTGAGCTTTGTCAAATGACTGCCAAAAATAAACACATCGAATTGAAATTGCACCACTGTTTGATATGAAATTGTAATGGAACACAAATCATGGGCATCCTACCCTGCCTAAGCTGGCCGTTTTGTCTTGATTCTCTCTTTTATTCTGCAATACAGTATAATATAATATGCTTATTGCTTCTGTCTTATTCATAGGGTACAATGCATTTTTCCTGTTCAATTTCCAACTTTGGCGTGATGTAGGTATCTGGGACGCCTTATTTCCTTCCGCATCGTAATCCGGGTTGGAAACCTTGGTATTGACTCGCCTGTTGCCTGAATTTGGGGAAGCCAAACGGAAAACCGACACCAAAAATACATGATTTTCAGATAGAGAATTGGAGATGGCAAGGACGGTAGCGAGTTTATCGTGTAGTTATGATGATTGTATAACAAGATTCATCAAATTATTTAAAATGGAATGAAATGGAGTTCCATCTAAATTTGGAGGGAATAATCGTTTCATCATTCGATGGATTTGGCATTTGCAAATGGAAAATGACTTCTGTGGTCGGGGAAAAATGGTGACCAAATATATTTATTCATTTTGGCTTGTCATACTAATTCTCCTTTATTGACTCCCAGGGACTCGGCTCAAAATTAATTTTAGACTTATAATGAACTTTACTGAATTGAAGCTTGATAAAAATCCTCAACATAAACCCTAAACCTTTATGTCGTCAATTGTTTTGTTATTTTACTAAATGCATCTTACTAACTGCGTACTCAGTATTTTAATAGAGAATCGCCCTAAATTTTAAGAGGATTATGTGTAATTTATCTTTCATTTTTTGTTGAATAACATTTCGAAGACAGAAAAAGTCAAAACGAATTAGATATCATTCAGGTGGAAACGTTGGAGTCTCTGAGCTAAAATTGAGGTTCTATAGGAGTATTCATGTGCTGAGGCTTCGCCTCCGTGTTCAAGTGGTCTGTTCATCCAATTTATTCAGCTATTCGATTCATAGTATGTATATGCATTAGCCTATCTAAATGTGCAAATATGTTCTAATCGAGCTTATCCCCTGCAAGAGATGGCCAACATTATGTTTATTTAAATTTCATCAAGTTCACCAATAAGAACTGGGTTCAGCAAAAAAAATTAGTTTATTATAATGTGACAAATTAATGTTTGAATATCACCAATGACTAGTTTTCTATAAGCAAAAATTTGAAGGGAAAAAAATGATAACCGAAAGTAGTATCCACAACTTGGTGCTATTTTTCAGGTATATTCAGCATCTTGAAAGAAAAAAATTACGGGAAAAGCAGCATTCACATCTTGATATTGTTTTTCAGGTGTATTGTGTTATCTATAATGTATCAAGCACCATAGACCATCAGTAAAATAAGGGTAGGGTGCAATGTTTTAAAAGCCGGACCGGATATCAAACCGGAAAACCTAGCGGGTCATGGTTTGATTGGTCAGATCGGTGGTCGAACTGTTTACATAATAATTAAATAAAAATATTTATATATACATAATGATATAAATTAAGCTTGTTTATAATTATAATATAATTATAACATATGTAAAATAAAAAATGAGATAGTATTAAAAATGTTTAGCACTTCAAATATTTCAACATGTGTGAGAATATCCTATTATAAAAATATAATAACATCGTAAGAGTGAAAAAAGCAAAGATGATCTTGGTAAAATTTTTTTTTAAAAAAAGGTTAAAAACACATTGCTTTTGCAAGATGCCTAAATACAACTCTAAAAACAGAATTCACCAAAAAAAAAAAAAGACGAAATTAGGGTTTAGGGTTTGGAGTTTGGGGTTTGGGGTTAGGGCTTAGGGGTTAGGGGTTTGGGGTTTGGGGTTAGGGATTAGGGGTTAAGGGTTTGGGTTAGGGGTTTGTGGTCTGGGGTGTGGGGTCCGGGGTGTGGGGTTGGGGGTTCGGGTCTCGGGTTCAGGGTTGAGGGTTGAGGGTTCAGGGTTGAGTGTTCGGGTTTAGGATTGGGGGTCTGGAGGTTGAGGGTCTGGGGGTGAGGGTCTGGGGTCACGGGGTCGGGGTCCGGGGTCAGGGGTTCGGGTTTAGGGTTTAGGGTTTAGGGTTTAGGGTTTCTAGGGTTTCGGGTTTCGGGGTTAGGGTCTAGGGTTAGGGTCTAGGGTTTCAGGGTTCTAGGGTCTAGGGTCTAGGGTCTAGGGTCTAGGGTCTAGGGTTAGGGTCTAGGGTCTAGGGTCTAGGGTCTAGGGTCTAGGGTCTAGGGTCTAGGGTCTAGGGTCTAGGGTCTAGGGTTTTAGGG